CATCCGGGATTTCTTTGATAGTGGCTCGAGGAATTGGATTTGGCATTGCGAGGTGGGTTTTCAGCAGTACTACGACTGGAGTGGAGACTTCTTGCTTCTTTTTACCGAAGAGAGGAGGGAGGTTATTCTTTCTTCGCTCGTTATCGACTTCTTCTTCAATCTGATCGCTTTTCTCCGTCCTAGAGAGTTCTAACATTTCTGCTTTCCATCGGATTACAGGATCCATGGCACGTAGCCAGGGGATTCCTAGTAAGATCTGGTCGCGTCGACCAAGTCGTGTGATGTTGAACTTTCCGATCATTGATCGGTCATCAATCTTGACGATGAGGATGCAGTATCGCGTGATAGCGCCTCCTTTCGCGTAACTTCCATCCGCAGTGGTGACTCAGAATGGTTTTGAGAGTTTGTGAGTACGGATTCCGTGGGTCTTGACAAACTCTTCAGAGATAAAGGTTCCGGCTGCGCCGGAGTCAACAACAGCTGTTGTTTCGACAGTTTTTAGATGAGTTTTGGAAATGAGGGAAATGGGAACACGGAGCTCCTTTCTGATTCCAATACTTTGTACAAGTCTGATAGGTACATCGGAAGATACTGACATCAATCCAGTCTTCCACATTAAAAATCCTCAGCGAGACGACGGATAGTCGTATCTTCATTATCCTCGCTGTCGCTTATCTCTTCTCTGCGAACAGGGATCTTCTTCTTCTGTGGGCATGCTCTAGTCATGTGCCCTTTCTGGTGACATGTGAAGCACAGTCCTTTTTTCATGTGCTCACTTCTTTCCGCTTCAGTGAGGCGGTCTACCTCCATGGCATTTGGGTCGTGTCGGTCGATAGACGGTCTGGGTACATAGTGCTGCCCCAAGGGTTTGGTAGTGACCTGATGGTTAGATCGGTATACGACACCCCTCTGATAGTTGCTATTGAGTCTGATGACCGCAGCGATGTACTTATCGAAGTCGGTTGGGATGGTTTCCATCTGAAAGACGGAACTGACGATTCCTTTCTTTAACCCGTCATTGAGGAATGTGATGAGGACAGCATCTTGCTTAACACCGGCTTGAGCGGCCAGAGTTTTGAAGCTGGCGATGTAGGAGGTAAGGTCTCCTGTCTGTCTTAGCGTCCTAAGCTTGTTCATGGCGGTGCCGACAGCATCGGCTGGGACGAAGGCTTCCTTGAACTTGGTTTCGAAGTTTGCAAAAGTTCCGTAGCTTTTGGTGGTGGTGTTGTCAACTTCGGTGTAGAAGGTGAGTGCCCAACCCATGGCACTATCTTCTGTCATATACACGAGAGCGGTGATGACCTTCTTCTCATCGGTGTTATAGATCGTAGCATTAAGCGTGAAGTATGCCTTAATCACATACAACCATCTAAGAGCCTGCTGAGGACTCCCATCATAGGTGGAGGGAGCTCCGGCTTTCAATTCTGGGGTGTTGACAGTGGTAGACATCCTGAGCGTGTAGTCAAGTGATGTTTTGGTTCAGGGGAACGTTCTCGTTCTCTCACTGAGTTCTTCTTCTTCTTTCAGGGGAACGTTCTCATTCTCTCGCTGAGTTCTTCTTCTTCTTTCAGGGGAACGTTCTCGTTCTCTCGCTGAGTTCTGGAGTCTGTGACCTCTTCGGTTGGAGAGGGTTGATGGTGGACTTTAATCTTTTGTTATGGCGAACTAGGATAGGCGCGACAACAGGTACTTGATAAGAGCATGCCTGAAGCCGGATCGTGTCCTCACAAATGTAAGGTTCATAAGACAAGTTAGAGGGAGTGCCTCTGGCTTGAATATCGGTTATCAGACAACTTAGGATTGGAGGTCCTAAGCGAAGGATAGTTCAGGTAAGACCTAGTAGATTAAAGTGAAGTCTATCTAAGTACAGGACCTGGTTTATATAGGTGTAGTCTACCTTAGGGTATGTACGTATTTGTCATCAAGACGAGTCAGAGATAAGGGACCAAGTCAGAGATAAGAGACTGAGTCAGAGATAAAAGATGAGTCAGCTATCGATGGCATGCGGCAGTCGTGCTGTAATACAGATATAGAAAGACGTTGGTCTAATGATGGCACAGCCAGGTGCGGTCATGACGTAATACACAAGTACAAAAAGAGACGGAGAGAAAAGAGATAGGGGGTACCCACTATTGTAACACAGGGAGCATGAGACTGGCTGGAGACCCAAGGAGGGAATGACTAGCTGGAGACCCAGGCAGGAAATGACTGGCTGCAGATCCAGGCAGGATGAGACTGGCTGCAGACTAAGGCAGAACGAGACTGGCTGCAGACCAAGGGAGGACGGAACTGGCTGCAGACCCAGCCTGAGGTAGAAGTAGACTTGCTGCAGACCCAGCCTGAGGCAGGATGAGACTTGTTGCAAGCCCAGCCCAAGGTAGAAGTAGACTCACTGCAGGCCCAGCCTGAGGCAGGACAAGACTCATTGCAAGCCCAGCCTGAGGTAGAAGTAGACTCGCTGTGGATCCAGCCTGAGGCAGAACGAGACTTGTTACAGACCCAGGCAGGATGTAATTGGTTGCAGGCTCAGGGAGGATGATGCTGGTTGCAGACAAAAAGCACAATAGAATGGCTCCAGACACAGAGAGGAGGAAACTGGCTCCAGAGTGATTTAGGACAAAACTGGCTTGGGACCCAGGGAGGGAAAGACTGGTTGCAGACCCAGAGCATACAAGACTGGCTGCAGACCCCAGGCAGGTGAGACTGGGTGCAAACCAAAGGAGGGAGAGACTGGCTCAGGACCCAGGGAGGGAAAGATTGGCTGCAGACCCCAAGTGCACAAGATTGGCTGTGGACCACAGGTAGGAAAAACTGGGTACAAACTAAGGGAGGGTGAGATTGGCTCCAGACTAGTGATGTGCGGGCCTGGCTTGGCCTGAAAGCCCCAGCTTAGGTCTGGCCTGGGGAGGCTTGGGCTTTGAAAAAATTCAGGCCAAGCTGTGGGCCAAAGCCACAGCTGGCTTAGGCTCATTCACAGCCTTCAAGAAAGAAAAGAGTCTATATTCAATTCAAGTATACTAACATTAGTCATCATCTGCTGAATCAACATCAGACCCTGACATATCGTTGTTGTCACCTAAAAGCAGTGTATCCCACCCCTCATCATCTGCTGCTTCAACTTCTAACACCTCAGCCTTGTGTTCAGAGTCTTCGGTTTCCTCTTCTATAAGGGAAGATGGGCCAGGCTCCTGGAATAGAAGATCATTACAGAGAGAACACTTGACGCATTGTAGCACCTTGACAATATTTCCTTTCAACTGATTGTACCACTTGCTGATTGTGATCCCACCTTGCAAGAATGCTTGCTCACTTGAGACCAATGCTGCCATAATAGACAGGTAGTCTCTTGCCAGTGAAGCCCACACTGGATATCTCTGGCCATTAATCTTAATAGAAACAACTGTCAGTTGCAAGAAACCTTGAAGCAAATGAAAGGCACTTACACCCCACCATTGAATAGTAGTCATACCTGCTGATTGAACCGCCTCAATAGTTTCAATGTAGCTCGTAAATTCAGCCCTCCATGGTTTTGACAGATCACTAGTAGATGTGGCACCTGGTTCTGGCTTGGCGTCATCCTCAGAGTCACTCTGGACCTCCTGAATGAGTTTCTTGAGGCCACTAACCTTGCTTTTTGTAGTTGTGGGCTGCAACAACAGCCGATCTTGATGTAGCTTGTCATAGTGCTGTTTGAACACATTCTTGGCACATGTAAGCATGTCATCAAGCAAGTTCGACAGCCAATGCTTTTTGAAGTAAGCAATTTTTGCCATTGGATCAAGTACTATATCAGATGTTAGAATCACACTGACTGAAAGAGAAAATGACGAACACATAGCAATGATGTAGGCTGGAGAGTTTGTAGTTCTCTCATAATACTCATCTAGCTTTGTTGCTGCTGCCTTCAGTGCACAAGCAAACTGAGTATACTTGGGCCTTTTGGCTCATGAAGACCAAGATTTGTGGAGCATCTCCAGGGCAGGTATCACAAGATGGAGAGTTGATCCTCAATCAGACAAGAAAGCTTGCTGGGCAACATCAGTGTATGAAAGAAGGTCCATGAATTGACCAACTCGTGTCCATTCAGCAGCTGATAGTTGCAGAAAGTCAATTTTGGCCCATTTTTTGAGACTGCGTTCTTGACGCCCCATTTCATACATGAATGTATCCATGTGCTACAGTGAGTAAGAGTGAGAATAAACAAAGTATAATGATATATCAAATACACACCTGCTTGTTCAATTCAACACAATTCAGCATAATGTAGGTGGACGACCAGCAGACTTTCATGTCGATCAATAGCTGTGTCAGCAATGACATGTTGGCTTTGATTTGAATGTTCCTGTATAATTCTTTTCATTTTGCCAATGAATGTTCTTTCACACAAATGCTGTGAACAAGGCCAATCTCATCCCAATCAACCTTAAGAGACATGTCTGGTTTGTGGCCGTGCGGATTGTGAGGATTGTAGTGAACAGATTTGCTGTATGTGCCAATGAGCTGCTGTGTGCCAAGATTGATAACATGCGCTAAACAACTGTTGATATTGTTAGCAGTTCCATCAATGAAATAACAAAACAAACTTACTTGATCTTGTGCTTGAGCCATGGAAAAACCTTCTTATACTTCACCTTGTATAACTGCGCAAACTCTTGCAGCATAGTGTTGTTGTTGGCTGTGTTGTCACATGTAACATGACCAATCTAGTAAGTAGACATGAGCTGGAGCATTTGAGAGGAATTAATATAACATACTTTATGTATAACAACAAGGCGATCAAGCACTTTGAATAACATACCACCCAGGTGCTGGCCATTATGAGCATTGTTGAGCTTTGTAAAACCAAGCAATGCATTCCCAGGTTCCCACTGCATCGGAATCTTTTCTTCAATCTAGTGGCCAGTGACTGCAAAATAGCTGTCTGTGTTGTCAGCCTGCCATGTGTCACATGTAACATTGATGGTGCTGCTGACAGATTCACTCTAGAATATGACATTAGATCATAACAGACAATAGTGCAAAGAATGACAATGTACATTTAACTTCTTTCTGAGTTTGGTGAGATGGCTCTTGAACATACACATAATTTCAGCATGGGTTGCTTTGTGGCCTGGAATTTTGACGCCCTGTGTAGCACGTGAGGCAACATCTACCATCTCTTTGAATCTCAGGTGTTCGAGAGCCTGAATGGGCTATAATGATTATTAGTACTATGCAGCCAGATGATATGAAGAGTTTACCTGATCCGTAGCAATGAGCCACTTGATTGCTGCCTTTCTGAAAAGCTGGTCGGAGTAAGGAACAACACACTCCAACAACTTGCGCTCAGTCATATGTGCATTGAGCGTCTCCTATGCTCATGCAGCTTTCATTTTCTCTGCAGCAATATCACCTGGCAATTTGGACAGGAAGGCATTGTCTTTGGCCCATTTGCAATATTTACCCTGTGCATGTTATTTAGATATACATTGATAATAATATGAAGATGAAAACTTACAGCAAATCTAGCTTTGGTGTGACAGTGCAGTGTTGAGGTCTCATTTACAATTATACAACCATTCCTACAAGTGATTAGGCAATGTTAATGACACAACAGCACATGGAAATGATAATGGAATGATGTACAGACAAACTTTGCACTTATGGTGTTTTTTCACCATGCCATTGGTGTTAGTCCACTTGAAAGGTTTGCTGAAGAAGTTGTCGATATCACAAGTCCTATCCTCATGTGTGGGACCAGACTCATCAGTGATGGGCTGTACACCAATATCTATGAGAATTCCATCCTCATCCACATCTTCATGGTCTTCAACAATAGCTTGCTGATGCTGGCAGGCTTGTTTGGCTGATGGTTTCAGATGAGCTTTGTACACACTCTCTTACATGAATAGATAAACTTACATTTGGAGTTTGTCCATGCATTTTCACATTCCTTGTCACTTGGTTCATAGCCTTCTTCAGCATCTTTGGTGCATGATCGTTTGTTAGTAGGCACAGGGATAGTGGGTTCAGGAGCAGGTGGACTAGGTGAGTTAGTGGGCTGGGGATTGTTGGAACCATGCTTTGCGGCCTCTGCCACACAAAATGCATTGATGGCTTTAGTTTGAGATGGGAGAGCCGCCTTCTCAGAATGCTCAAGGAGTGCAGCAGAGGGCTTGATTTTGCACACTGGATGCACTAGTCAAGGTTCATCATCACTATCTGAGAGGATTGTTCCTGCCATTAGAATTAGAGATTTGTGAGTAGGGATAGCAACGTACTAATACTATTTATCTCAATAAATCATTGAGATTGTGCTGCAGATAGATGACACTTCAAAGATCTAAGTAGCATCAAGTTCATGAAGCATGACAAAAGGTGACTCACAGTTTTTACTGGTTAGCATATGAGTGTGAGCCAGTGAAGGTTCAACAACTCTGCTAGGCTGCAGAGCTAAAGAAAGAAAGAAAGCCTCTACCTCTGGGGTGAGAGGAAGGCTACTGACTCTCTAAGTGTTGGTTGAAGTGTGCCAGGCAATATGTTCGACCCTTAAGGGAAGCAAGGAAAGCAAGATCCACTGGGTGACACTAGGTCAACTCTGGTAAAGTGCACTGAAGGCACATGTGTGGGAATGTCAAGTGTGTAGGAGCACAATGTGGGAAACACAACAAGAAGAGAACTGGAAAGTAGACTTCTAATGTTGGGCTAAATGTGCTATGCCTAGCTGCTATTCAACCCTAAAGGGTTTCTGGACTAAGCTCAGTGCTCAGAGAGGATAGGAAATCATGCTAAAAACTGCTCAGTCTCAGACTGGTACTGGTAAGAGGTGAAAACTATGATGATTACATAAGCACCAAAAGTGCGAACATAACACTAAGCAATATCTGCCTATACAAGCCCACAGAATATGAAATCCCTACAGCGAAGCATGGGAATAAGGCGCACACAGTGCATGAACGTGTAAAAGATGATGATAGGCTGCTGCTGATGACTAGGGCAATGACTGAAGCATGCTGACTGAAGACAATGGATTCTCACTCTAGAGACTAACTGACACTAAGTGACATGATGGTGGTAGGTGTCTGAAAACTTTCCTAGGCAACTGGTAAGCTGTGCCTAGGCGTGCTCCCAGGGCTCAGAAGCAAATAGGGAGTGCTCTAAGTATGTAAAATGAGATAAGGACAGGGTCCATGATGAAATAATGCCATACAAATACTAAATATGGTCTGATAATGAGAATAGATGAGGAAGGACTCACTATGGAACTGGTTGGACAATGGATGGATGCTCCAGGATGCTGCACAACAAAGTGCAACCAAGCGCGGGAAGAGCATGCTAAGTGCATGCACAGGAATGCGTTGTGTAATGCGGGAAAGTGTCACGCCTCTGGCGCATTTTGTGGGAAAGTCATAGATAGTGAGTTGCACACTATACCAATTGTCATGAGTTGTAATATGCATGATATACACCTGGAGGAATCTCATTCTCTACACCAGCATCAGACATGCCATTGTGCAAACACAACAATGGCTAGACACTTGTTAAAGTGCTTAACCAAAAATATTGTTGTAGGTCTATGCTCTGCCTAGCTGCTACACTTGCAAGCAAGAATGTTTGACCCTAAAGGGAATTGCTACTGAGAATGGCTGATGATACTAAAGACCTGAAAGTGTGCAGAGCATGGGAACAAGTGTGTGGGTATGTAGAGTGTGGGAATGTGGAAGTGCAGTCGATGAGTGGTCAATGAGCAGTCAATGAGCGGTTGATGAGCAGTTGATGAGTGGTCAATGTGGAAGTGCAAGATGCTAGGGTAAGGGGTAGGGAAGTCTTAAGGAATGGTGCAGGTAACAAGTGAGGGCAAGGGTATTGATTGCACAGGTAAGGAAAGTCAAGACAAGGTGTCCAGGTATAAGGTAACCAATAGGGGCTAAAAGCGCACACTAATGGTGACTGCTCCTAAGTAAAACCTAAGGGAAGGAAATACTGTAGAAGGGAAGTAAATATGAAGTAGTCACCCTAGGCACTTTATACTAGCTAAACCCTCTTGGAAATGGAAGGGACAGGACAGACAGGCAGTAGGAATATGTAAAGACATGTAATAAGACTGCAACACTTGTTACAACACACAAGGCAAGGCAAAATATGTACCAATGAGGTAGGATGGACAATGGACTGACACAGGACATCTGTAAGGTAGTCCAAAGGTGCAGGAAATCGACTGCAGGTATGCACGCAGCGCAGGAGTGAATGTGTGGGTCCACAGAGTGCAGGAATGCGTGTCCAGAGTGGGTTGAGTGCAGGAAAAGTGGTCGATGGTTTTGTAGCTTTCCATCACCTATATCAAAAGATGGCCATTGCAAGCCTAGCAGGAATATGATCGTCACACCATGCTCTGATGCTCTGATGCTCCTTTTGGCTAAGCTCTGCAAACACTCATCAAACACTTGACTTCTCTCAGGCCTCTATTCCATTGGACATCTTGGATGTGCTTAAGTGTGTGTTGGATTCACAGAAGCTGCTGACATGCAGATGAGTCCATGGTAAGGAGGAAGTAGCGCTGAGGATTCCAGTGGTTTTAATTGAGGCTTGTTTGAAGGACTGTTAGAGGGCTCGACTCAGACAAAGGAGAATTTGCAACTTTGGGACTGTCAGAGTGATACATTAACAATTGAGCTCATCATTGTCTCAGATGACTAGTATAGCTGTAAGAGTAAAAGCCATGGCTCGAGCCACTGGCTCCAGCTTTCCAACTGCCCAGGCCAGGCCCTAGGCTGTGGTCAGGCCATGACTTTGGCCCAGCCTGGCTTGGCCTAACTAGGGCCAGCTTTGGCCAGCCCACGGCTTGAAGCCAGGCCATGCACATCACTACTCCAGACCCAGGGAGGGTGCAACTGGCTCCAGACTGGCTCCAGACTCAGAAAGGGTTAGACTGGTTCATGACCCCAGGTGGGTGAGACTGGCTTCAGACCCTGGGTGGGCGAGATTGGCTGCAGATGCCCAATGGCCAAGCATGGCAATCCACTCCTGCAGCATCTGTCTGGGTGACTATGGAAGAATTCTCAAGTACATTGGATGCAATCAGCAAGTATATCATTATCCCAGCATTGCCTCTACTACCGACCTTCCAGTAGTCCAGCAGTTTAAAAGCTTGCTGGATTTCTTGATGTTTCTGATGTTCCTGGCATTGATGCCCTGAGATCACTTCACTTCTGTGTTGCCTGAAGTTCCTGACAGAGAAATCATCCATGCTATGAATGTGTTTACAACTTTTGCAAACAAGGCACAGGAATGAAGTCAATCAGCTTCTGACACTTTCAAGTATGCATGTCAAAACTGGGTTGTTCATCTGTCACATGCTCCAAATCCATGGGATGACATGCTCCACTGTATATTCCAGACTTTCTGGAATTGTCACCTCCTTTCTTGGCTCGAACATCAGTGGTTTTTGAAGGGTCTGCGGTCTTGCCTTGATATTTTATCGAAGGGGCAGAAACTTGCAAAGGTATGCATATTCCCAACAATGAATACCCACCCAAAAAGCTGATAATATTGCCTTGTTTCATTTTACAACACTCCTTGTAATTCTCTCATGCTCAGTTTGAACCCGTTAACGCGCAGCTTGATGATGGGCTGTTAGCCGTCAGTCCCAATATCCAACACTCAGCAACAGAAACTTCACGCCCATCCACTGCTGGAATGATGAGCGGACCGTCAACTCCCACAACCACTCTTCCCACAGGAGAGCTCATCGTGGCCCTATACGCGGAATCCGTTCCTACTGATACTTACCCAATGAAACCAATCTCACAGCGTCTTCCTTCTACTTCGCCTCTTGCACCACCCCTGCCACCCGTCCCTTCTGTGGGACCCGACACCGCTGTATTCCATGTTGGCACATCCAGAAAGTGCAAGTTGGATGAATTTCAAATCAGCAGCAACAGTCTACTCGAGTCAGACACCCCATACCCATCAAAACGTCAGAAATGAGTCGAGCAGCATTTAGAGCGCAAGACTGGCAGGAGTGCCAGTCAGACACGGAGTATAGTGCACTGCTCATTCAAAAAATCTCTAAGGCATCTGCGAGCATTTTATTTAATTTCAACCTCTATTGAGGGTTCTCTCGAGCTTCTTGAGTAGCGACACGTTTTAGAAGCCTTCCACAAGAACATGACTGTACTTAGTTTGATGACTGTGTAGTGAATTACCTTCACATTTGCTTATCGTATTCTGTATTGATCTACGATACCAGTTAACAATGTTATAACTGTATACCAACAGAACACTTCGTTCTTCAAACAATTCCAACGTGACTTCCAACCGTTACGTGTTACGACCTGTGTCTTATCATTGTGAAGGGAATTTATAATAAACCGGTGCTTAATATACAAAAATACAAAATCTGTAAGTAGTCGAGAGGCAACAAACTAGTCTTGACCATATCCGAATAATGGGTGAAGTTTACTAGCAGTAGGAAATCGCTAGTGAGCAAGCACATATCTAATAACCAGTCATCTCATAACACTACTCGTTAGCTCCCTAATCCACAGGCCCAAGCTTTCAGCCAATCTTGACAAGGGATACAAGAAGGATTGGACACCGCCAAAGGACCATGATTCGATGGAGAACGCGTCATTTGCTCAATCATCCTTATTCCCTTAAGTGTGCGTGGGGGCGACGACAGTTTGGAAACAGAGAATGTCAAAAGCTCTACTTTCATGTCCTTGCCGCTAACCTCACATTCAACGAGCGGGTGTGCGCTATGCGGGATGGGCAATGAAAAGGTCTGGAGACTGCTAAGCGGAGCCTGCGCCATCCAATCAGGCAGCTTGTGATAGACTTTCGATCCATTGCCGCTGTGGCAGAGGTGACGCGCGTGCCGAATGTTATCAGATATTGTGAATGTGATGGAAATGACGTGAGATATAGAAGCGAGGAACACCGCTCCATGAACAGTCTTGGTGAAGGACGACCATTGGCGAGTCATGAACTCAGAACCAGTTACCATTAAAGTTTTTGGGCTGTACAGAGCCGGAGAACCTTCGTGGTTGTTCGTGCGGGATTTCCAGGCATGGAAAAGGCAGCCTGACAGAAGGCCCAGATTCTCAAAGTCGACTGCAATACATGGCGCAGCAAGCAGGATGGGGGCCAAGGGGCTGAGGTCCTGCCCAGTGTGTATTGGTCCAAATCCGTCGAGTGAAAGTCCTGGGAGAGAGCCACGAAACTGTCCCATCCACATCCTGCGTATGTACTTCGTGTAGTCGCATTTAAATTGATGATCTTGCTGAGCGTATGCTTGCTGCATACGTAGAGTGTCCATGAACGCTGTCACGTTGTGTAATTGCGGGAGCAACACGGTGTGAAGAATTTCGGGCAGCACCGTTTTTCTGACTTCTTTAGATACAAGACAGAGAGTGAGGGCGCATGCATATGGGTTTGTAGATTTGTATGGTTCAATCTGAGAAAAACTGGGTTCTGCTGCATATTTAAGGATGAGGAGGGCCAGCTCGACTGGAAGGTCGCCAAACGGAAATGAAAGTTGAGTAACAGGTTCCATGATGGGGGAGTAAAGTTGGTTTGCAGGAGCCCTTTAATACTCATCTCATGAACAATGTCCATCGTGGCATTATTCACAGCAGTGGAAACCCATTGTGTGCATGGCAGGACCAAAAGGTGTCACTCGGTAGTCCACAGCAGAGTTATTGTTCCTTCTAGGTCGCACAGTGTGCTCTTGCTTGGGGTCATTGGCAGGAGGTGTCGCTCTCTTGTCCACGGAAGAGTTATTAGCATTCACCTGATTTCTTCCAGACTCGGCATACATCCAGGTCCTGTCCGGACTCGAAAGCGTCACTGACTCACGACACAATTCTTACATCTGCAAAGTTGAGTGGCCCATTTCACTGCTACTTGAGCAATGAGTTTAACTGAATGTTATTGTGACTTGAGAGCATGAGATTTGTATGATCGAAGGTTGGCAACCCTGGTACTCGAGTTTGAGTTGTTGACTTCAAAACTCAAATCACCAATAGCTTACTAATGCGCTCGTGGCGGTGGTCCACAACCGCACTTTCACCTCTTCTTGTAGTCTCACACCAAATCCCTCTGTTCTGTGCTCTCTCCTTGCGCTGCAGAGCTTGTAATGCATACATAGTCTGATAGTAGCCTGAGTCTTACATGTGAAAAGTAACGCTTCGTGAATCGTCCCTGTGTCACGCTGTCACGGTGGTGATAATGTCACATATGAACTTCAGTTTCGCAAAGGTCGGCCATTGTCAAACCCTTCACTTCACTCCATTGAGGTCACTCATTCACGTTGGAGCTGCCGCCAACGCGTCATCGACTGACACATCCTCGAGAGGTTCTTCATCAGAGCGCTAATCGCCAGCTGAGCGTAGATTTCACACACTTACGTGAGTCTTAGACCAGTGCTAACTTGATTGACATGCCTGCTGCAGGGCTGCAGTTCTTTGTAAATTTTAGCCCGAAATAATCATAGAACAGACGCAATTGCGAAATCGAAGATGCCCTTCCCTTACAAATACCCGTTATTCAGCTATGATGACGACTATGGGGGGTGTGAGCTTTTGTAGCGCCCCCGCTTCATATAAGTATGTACTAGCAGTGATGTTAATTTGAGTTTTGTTAGGTCGGCCGCATCAGGATCGTTGCCTGACACGGCCGTGCATAGTATCATGATAGTGGCAGTCCGTTGTCGTTCCTTACAAATCAATTGATCGCTATTCTGTTTCCATGAACCTCATGCATCGCCCTCGCATACGTTTCTAATCATTTGCCAGTCTCAGTTTCGGTTTCAGTTTCAGTCCGACGTTTACTTAAATAGACGTCAAGCTGCTAACTGGGCTCATACATCACTTCCTCTCACCCCTTTCAATCGACCATCATGACGATTCACCATATAGGTAAACCCTGCTTCGAAGCATTCAAATCAGCTTGATTCTAACACACAGCACAGTCCTATTCACGTTCAAGCCCGAGGTGACCCCAGAACAAAGACAGAGCGTGAGGGACTGCATCAGCGCCCTTCCATCTCAGATACCTGCAATCCAAAGCCTTGTTACTGGTAAAACGGTATTCAACCCCCTCGGACACGGCTATGACGAAGGTATGTCATCTCTCGTCATCTGAAACATTCATAGGTGGTTGACAAGATTGCGCCTCAGGGGTCATTTTTCTATTCGAGAACGTAGCCAAGTTGAATGAATATCGCCCACACAAGGCGCATCTTGATTATCAGACGTTCGCGAGGCCTTTGATTGAGGGTATGTCTTGTTTTTGATTGAAGATCGTTTTGATTGAATGGTCAGGCGCAGGTATACTCATTTTTGATATTGAGACAGCCGCCTAGAGGGGAAACTAGTTTGATAGGATGTTGTACTGCTCATGCAGGTGGTGGCTGAAGGCCTGCGTTATGAATCACTTTCGGATCCGCGACCCTTTTTCTATGTAGATAAGTGTTATCACCACCTGGGCCCTGACGTGTCCATGCACCCGGCAAGCCCCCGTATAATTCGTGTACTTATTGACAGTGACATCAACTTGTTCTGATGGGCGGCTTGAATCGTGATTGTAGCTTAACATGGCAGGCGAGTTAATACTGCGCGTGTTACTGTCCTCTGCGATGCAAAAGGAACGGCAACCCCCTCTACGTATGTGATTGTCATTTCAAGAAGTCCCTTGATCGTCGACTTCTTTTGATCACCAATCTATTTATCTCAAAAGTTGGTGCACTGGCCCCATGCATCGCTCTCGCATACAAATTCGTGGAATCAACTTCCCTCACTGGTACTCGCTGGTTAAGTCGGTTCATAGAGTTTACATCGTACGTTTCTTAAACACACATTCCCGTGACTGAACTCGGATACCACTTGCTTCGACTCTTCGACTCATCCATCCATCATGGCGATTCCCCGCATCGGTAGACCCTCCTTCAAACCAGCTTTGAGTTGAGATTCCAACACACCACAGTCTTGTTGAATTCAAGCCTGAAGGAACGCAGCGTGAGAGACTCCGTCAACACCCTTCCATCGCAAATACCCGTGATCCAGAGTGTCATCACTGGTGAAACAGTGTTCAATCCCTTTAGGCATGGCTATGACAAAGGTATGGCGTTTCTCGTCTGCAAGGATTCGCAGGTCTGAGAAGACTGTGCTTCAGGGGTCATTTTCCTCGCAGGTGACTGAATTAATTGAGTCATCCGTGACCTTCGAGTGTGACGTCATGACCATTCACCTCATCCGTGAATCAGCTTGCGGTACACCTGACAATGGCATGACAGGACGGCTCTGAGTTAGGTTGGTGCCAAAAGTTCTTCACAAATTCAAGCTCCAACACGGAAACAGGTTAGCTCGTCGGACGGTCAGAGATTCCACTAACTAATAATACCCATCCGTTAGGGGCTTATAATGGCCCGGGTGGCAATGCATTCATGCATGAGCCGGAGTGAGCGTCGGAAGTCACGATGCAGATTGGTGGGCAACTGCAGTGCTGGCGGTCAGTCGTCGTCCTGGGCCACAGGCTCCTTAATCATCGAGTTTTCTGGTGATCGTCATCCTCTGAGCTGTTCCCGCCCTCAACCAACTTCGGCCTCTCGCCGGCTTGATTAGTCTGTTGCATACTATAAATAGCATTCGCACCGAGTGACTTTGGTTAAATACAACATTCATGTGACTGGACTCGGACATCCTTTCTTCCTCCCTTCCAGTTCATCATGACGATTCACCATATAGGTAGTGTCTCTCTCTCTCTCCCGAGCCCAACTTCAAGTGGTCTAACATATGGCACAGTCTTGTACAAGTTCAAGCCTGAGGCAACCGCAGAACAACGCCAGAGTGTGAAGGACTCTGCCAGTGCCCTTGCATCCCAGATACCCGCAATCTAGAGCCTCATCACTGGCAAAACGGTGTACAACGCCCTTGGACATGACTATGATGCTGGTACATCATTTCTCATCGTATCTGCAAACCGGATGGTTGATAAGATTGTGCTTTAGGGGTTATTTTTGTATTCGAGAGCATAGCCAAGTTGAACGAGTATCGCCCACACAAGGCACATCTTGATTACCAGGCGTTCTCAGCACCCTATATGGAAGGTATGTTTTGTTGTTGTTCGAATATTTCTTTAACTGAACAGGGCACAGACAAACTCATTTTTGATATCGAGACAGCTTAGAGGGGAAACTACTTAACTTGACATCATACCGTACTAAGTACTCGTGTAGATGGCTAAATCCACTGCAAATATCATGAATCCAAATACGAGGAAATTGATAATCCTCACCTTCGGGCTGCGACTGTGATTTCTATGTAGACAGGTATTTTTGTCCCCCGGGTACTTGCGCCCTGACAAGCCCTATCTTCACACTCAGTCATCCAATCAGCTATCATACACTGTATAACTGTTGCACTTAAATAGAGAATACTCACGCTCCCAAATTATCGTAACACACGTCCGAGGTTTCAAGCGACCATCCATTTCCCGGGCGGCTTCATCTGAGTTCATCATGACCATCTACAATATAGGTAACTTTCAATCGGCCACCCTCGCCTCGCTCGGGATTGACACAGCATAGTCCTGTACAAGTTCAAGTCGGAGGCAACCCCCGAGCAACGAGAGTATGTGAAGGAACTTATCAAGGAACTTCCGTCGAGAATATCCGCGCTTCAGAGCGTTATCACCGGAGAGAAGGTCCCCAACCCCCTTGACCGCGACTATGACATGGGTGGGCTATTTCACAAAAGCTCGCGACTTGCTGTCCGACATATTCTAGGGACTATTTTTTTGTTCGAGAGCAAAGAGAAACTGGATGAATTCCGCCCGCATCAGGCGCACACTGAATACCGGACCCTCTCCAGTCCGTACCTTGAAGGTGTGTGTATTAATATTATCAATGGACTAGATCACCTAGCAGAAGAACTTCCAGACAAACTGGTCTTCGACATGGAGACAGCTTAAAAGAAAAAAATAACAGAACCTCGAAAGCATATGTCGGGAGTGCACGTAATATATATACATTGTCGATTATTTATGCGAAATGAGTCCGTGAAACTGGTGGTGCGGAGAAAGTTCAGGCATAGATCGGGAGAGGTAGCATCCTAGCAACTGTGAACAGCATGAAAGATACGTATGTGATGCAACACACCTGTCTGCATTGAACATGAAGTTCCCTGCAATATCCTCTCCTTCCAAGAATCGCGAGGGATACACAACTTCGAGGATATGAGAAGAAGCCGATGATGGGGGGAGTGGATGGCACTCACCAAGGTGCCCACGGACATCTTTCAACAGCTCCTCCATTTCATCTCGCTCCTGCTTGGTAAAAGGCTCTATCCCATTCACAGGTTTCCTGCTACGACCGTCCTTGTCTGGGAGGTGAGAACCCCTGGAGGGAGCGCCGTCGCTCCCATCGTTGGTATGAAAGGTCTCACGGCTCTCCTCAGCAGCATCCGCCAAACCTCCCTTTTGATATGGTCCGTCTTCGCATGCTGTCTCTGAGGGCACTCGTGATACTGGGTATGGCGAATTGCTACCCGTTGCCTATGAAACAAGAGTATTTGAGAGGGGTATAGCGGGGGGGAGATTCACGAACCGGCTTAGAGAAGCGTTCATGGTGAATAACAAATTCTTTGTATTGCTTCCACGTCGCAATGAGGTCATCAGGGACAGAGTGAAAAACTTTGCGATAAATCTCAGTCTGCGAGAAAGAATCAGTCCGTGCACAACTCCTACGTAAAGATAACATACGTTATGCACAGCGCAGGCGTTCCAAACATTCTTCCAAAATGCATCAGATATCGGGTCCTCAAAACCCTCTGGATTTACATGGGGAAGGATCGGTACAGCCGACGTTTTATTGCCGACTTTGCTAGCAGGATGCTTCCTGAGCAGGGTCCTTGTTCCCGTAGCAGTGTTTTCAAGCTCGTCCTGGCCATTGGTTCCCGACTCCAGATGGGGTGGTTTGTCATCAGTCTGTGGATTCCTTGACGCAAGCGCTGGAGTACTGTATGCTTCCCCATCAGCCGTGCGCTTCTCGACGGGATCAGAGTTTTCGCCCAGTCGATGTTCGAGCTTGTCTTTCAAAGGAGGGTTCTCAGCTTGTGAAGCTGAAGGCAGGCGCTCTTGAACAACTGCTTCTTCCACAGGTGTAACTATCGCACCGGCGAGCCCTGGCTCCTTCTTGCCTTCACGGCTGCACGTCATACGCTCCTCCTCCAGGGATACATCTTGCTCTGGAGTGTTCGGTTTGTGGAGTTCCACCTTCACAATAGGTTTCTTGAGGTGGTGGGAAGCGCTCAAAGCAGCGTTGCCAGCTTGACCAAAAAGGTTAGTCTCTCAGGTCTTCGAGGTTGTGGTGAACACAAACTTTGTTTGATACCCTCGCCTGCGGTGTGGAGTATACTACGTATGGGACTCATATGTTTGGCTGAAGTAACTTCGCGACCACTAGGCTCTTGCTCCGATTCTGGGTCCCACTCTTGTTCATGGTCAGGTTTGATTTCTTCGTGGGGCATAGGCTCATGTTCAATCATGGCGTCAACATCCACACCAACATGCTCTCGCATCAACCGCATTCGCAAGGTGTGTGCAAATCGCCCAACTTTGAACGGTTTTCCTGCCATCGTCCTGTTGTACCACAGCTATCAGAGAATTGCGAGGCGAGACCGAGAAAGTCGTACCCGTCAATCAGATCAGTGTCTCGGATGACTGCAGCAATTTCGGAATCTCGATCACCACGTTGGGAACGCTCATTGATGTTTGCGCTGCCAATGATTGCCAGACGATCATCCACAATACAGACCTGATGAGATCGATGGATCTGAGTATTCAGCTTCAAAGATCAAATCGGTATTATACCTTGCCATGAATATATAACTATAGTGTGGTAAGCGGGTTGGAAGGCACGGCAGTGTAGGCACTTACTATCTCCGTAGTCAATACACCGTTCCGCATTTTAGCCCAGTTTCTCAGCGAAAACACGGAGATATATTCATCAGGCTAATCATACAAGGATAAGCACAGCGATTCCAATGGTAAAACCAAGCACGCACATCTATACCCTCTTTACGAAGTCGAGAAAATATCGAATTGGGCCCACGACAGATAGTGCGGTTCTGACACTCGATAATGATTCGAATCTAATATGTTAATTTAGTAAGATTTCAGAAAATATTTTTCCCAACTAACTGCGCTGGCGTCGCTGTGATCAATGGGGAAGGGGAAGCCAGGGAGGAGGGGAATGACGATGCAACATTTCCACGGGGTGCCCTCGCGATGTGCGCGGGTGATCCGATCTACCAATGCATCGCCAATCCGGTTCTCAATCTTGATATCATTCACGACGGTCCTGCGAGACAAATTAGCAAGCAGTGGTAGCAGAGCGGCGAATACTTGCGAGGTAATGAAGAATTGATTCTCAATGTACACGAAATGCTCCGACATCTCGATGGCTAAATGACTGTGTTAGTAACACCTCCTGCGTAAACCATGACGCCTGACCTTTCAGATATGCATTTTGAATCGAATGCTCAGTTCGATTGGTAGTACCAAGCGACCAAGGGCCGGCCGATCTGCAAAGTTGCATCTCGCATGTGCCTGTCAGACCCATTGCGGCAAGCTCTCCAGGTTTGAACTCCGGCGGAGGTAGCAGGAAAGGCATGGTTCGGGAATGGTTCTGATATGAATTAAGCAAACGCAAGAGACCTATGAAGTGATCAACACACTTTCAACCGAAGCAAATAATTCCATCTGTGGCTCGGTAGTTCAACGATGTGCTTCGCGCGAATGAATTTAGGGACAAACCTTTCAACAAAGTGTCGAGCGAGATCGCGAGCAGGCTGGCCTACGACTTGCATGCCTACATCATGCCTTTGGAGAGGAGTTGTGAATGTCAATATTCCCTCAAACACAGATGATCGTACCAAGGCATCCGGGGCACCTTCGCCCTGTCATACATGTCTTCAAAGGGTTTGTTTAGCGCATGGAAATCAAGAACCCGCGGATTACTATAGTCTTTGCCTGTGATACATGGTCAGTCAATTTCCAAACCGTATGGTTAAAATGTACCTGGCCAGATTTCTGTCTTGTCTGCCGATAGCTCCGAGTCATCGATGATGACGTGCTGTGGCGTATCCCATCTTTAAAGTCGTTCAGTGATGAAAGCTGGTCGACATCTGAATTGACTTCGCACCTTCCGAAACATAGGTCAATCCCTCCCATGAATGCGATAGTCTCGTCAATAACGCAGAGCTTCTCATGCTGTTAAGGGTATGTCATTGATAGCCGCGTTTCTGCGTAAAGAACCCTTACGTGTGCCCAGTAGAATGTGCCAGTTTGGAAGTGTGAGGGTGAACGTTGAACCATGATGTTTGGGTGTAGCGATATGAGGCGTTGCTTCGCATAGCTTTATGATACGGTGAGTCTACAAGATCTACGACGCGCTTGTCAGTTCTTACTTGCTATCCGTGGGGGTAGTTCGGTTCGAAACTTCCTGACTAGAAGCAGATCAATAATACTAGATACCGACATTCGAAAGGTTCTTACTACAGAATTATGTGGATCTTGACCCCTTCCTTGGCCTTCCTCTCAAGAAGATGATCCAAACGATACTTGGGTTTATTAGGACGCCTCAGTTGTAGTTCTGTACTACATGAATAACGTGACTACCATGATAAGCTATGGACATACCAGGGGATAGCCACCAGTCATGAATATAGATAGTCTCTTGCGCCATGAGGATAGCCCGGGACAAATTCCACATGTAATCGCGCTGGTCCTTATGGTCAATGTCAGATTATATAGAAAAAAGGAGACACGAACCCCATCAACAAGCCACTGAGCAGCGACATCCAATCGCACTGGAGCAAAACTGTCGAAACGATTTTTATTTTTTGCGATGAAAGGGGTCGTAGCAGCGGCTTTTTCCAGGGCAGTAATCCATTGCAACATTTGACGCTAAATTTGGGGTACCTCTGGTCAGTGATGTATAATCACTCGATGTAAGGAACTGACCTCATTTCTTGCGAACAACTTCAACCGCATTTGCGAATTCTCGACATAGAACGTATGCTTTGAGACATCATCTGGCCGTTTCTTCTTTTTTCTCTTATCCTGCTCGTTTGTCTCCTCTTGTATCTCCCTAGTCTCCGCGGTGTTACTACTCTTCAGAGGATTCACATGCGTAGACGGGTCCAGCATCGGTGTCGCAGGACGAGATGATACTGCGGAGCTGCCAGAACTGACTGTCTCTGTTCTCCTGTGCCCTGTTCCCGTAGCAACATCCCCATTACCCTGCACCTCACCACCCGTAGTGGCTGCAATGTTTGGTGACGACCTATTAGCGATTCGAAAGGCCCGCGAAAGGCGACTTTTGATACTATCTATTGCAGAGAGACAGTCGACCTCGGCCTGTGGGTATTCCGTCTGAATCTGTGGGTGCGGACTGCTGCTGCGGCCTGTTGAGGCCAACAAGAAATTCACGGTCCTCCGGTTCTGGGTGCAAGAGGTGCAGACCCTTGCGATAGTATCGTGTGGGCCGAATGATCTTGAAACTCGTATCGAAGAGGAAGACGTCCCAAATTACAACCTAAGTCATGTTTATTAGTAGCAGGATTGTCATTGAAATGGCGCTTGGCTTGCCTCCCCCGGGTCCTCCACGACCACGATATAGCTCTCACGAATGGCACACCATCGAGCCTCCTTCCGCTCTCGCCACCGTGCTGATTTTCGTCCAAACCCGGGACCATTGCCTTCTGTATGAATGCGCAGGAATCCAGCTTTATATTGTGCGCCGCCAGACAGCGCACGAGTGATGAATAATGCGCTTATCTCTAGGAAGCCTGCGAGTCGATTTGCGGTTGGGTGAAACATCTAGAACGGTGTTTGTGAAGGGTAATTAAGGCATAGGGGGAGAGACGAACAACAGCGCGTATAAGTTTAATCAAATAGTCCTCTAGCGCTTCTCGTTGCAAACGAGCAAAGTCAGTTTGTTTGACGTGACGCCCGCTGGATTCCTTCTTCAAGAATTTAAAGTAAGGAAGGCCTGTACAACAGCTTAGTACTTCTGAATATCGACAAGTGCACAACTCTTACTAGTTCGAGGAAACTCTGGCAATACATCCTTTTGAGTGCGGAACGCATTGGACAAAGTGTAATGGGCATGCAGGGAAAAGAAATCACGAAGCTGCCTGTAGACCACCCAACGCACTGCACCGTTGGCATATTCACACTCGATACGAAACACAGCTTTATGTGTTTGCATGGGATGTAGACTGTCACTAATCCGTATGCGCAGACGATGGAGGAGGACAGGGATACGCCGGTGCCCCTTCTCATCGCGTTCGAACCACAAACGCAGCATCAATGTGGACAAACCGCCCGTAATGAGTTCGTCTGTGATATTCACCTCGTTTGAGGTGACCACGGAGTGTAGTGCAGGTTGCCCGGTGCGAACGACATAAGGTAGAAGACCACGTAACTTGCTCCATCTTGCGGATGTTCCTGGCTTTTTGGAATCTACTCGGGGAGGGTGAGATTGAGAGCGCTGGAGATCCCCAGGGGGAGGATCAGTGGACTTGCGAATAGGTCCTATTGTTTGGTGTCGAGACATGGGTTTCCTCTCTATCTTCTCTTCTTCCTCTTCAATTATTGTGTTAGGAGGTTCCGGAAACATCGAATTCGACCTCTCCTCTAATGGCGAATCATGGAATTGGTCGAAAACTCTACTCTCTCTTGCTTTACCCTTCTTATCTGTGGACACTTTTCCCAGAGAAGGGCTAAGCTCAAACGCACCCCGGAAGCTCGACGAACTTGAATTAATCTGAAACGAGGTTTTGCCACGATCTCCCAAATCATTTTCAAAAATATCGCTGTATTCCCGCTGGCCGTTGAGAAGAGTTTGACGCGGGACGGATGAAGAGCTTGGGTGGGAGAAGGTGAATGACAAGGAGCGTGGTGGTCCTGTACGGTTTGAGGGTGTGTCAGGGAGGGTAGCCTTCGGTGTCCTGAGCGGAGACCCGGTAGGTGAGATTGGGATTGGTGATTCAACGCGGCTCATGCGCTGGTCCATCGAAGACCGTGAGCCAACGTTCCCGGTCTCATCATCATGTTTGCCGTGTCCAGACGAATTTGCAGAGCTCTCTTTTGCCTCTCGTGCATGGCTGGCGCTGACTCCAACGTTGACCGAGTTTACAGATGACATTGCGAAGTCGCGGTATGCAGAAGATGAACGGGTTTTTACACAGTCTGCAATAGCGACTCCACTGGTTGCTCAATCGCGTATGAATATGATTGGCAATTGTGGAGTTGACGCGCCAACCAGAAACCCGATATCAAAGACTTGAGTGCTATTACCAGTTGCAGCTTGAGCGCCACTGTGTTCAGCAATTCAAAGTCAACTGCGTGCTAGCTTGGAAAAGGAAGGCGTGAATAGACGCTCATAAATTATTATTATTATTGACGTAATACTAATTCGATCGATATTGTTTGGGCCACCATGTACACGGACGGACCAAGATTTCAGCCTCAGACGACTCAGGAAATGCATACTAGTACTTACTACCAGGACCTCCGCGCGCACCGTCCGGGTGGTCAATTAACTATCTGTTCCTGCTTCTATGTTCACGATCGACTGTTGGACTCAGTCTATCGTCATGATGAACTGAGATCTAGTAGAAACGGCTGGCTGCGGTGTGAGGTCTGACACTACCAACTCAGGTGGCACCTCCTCTATGTCTGGCACCCGAGTGTATCAGTCACGGTGATGGTGGGACTCCATAAAATGCGGGATCCTTTTTCAAGGTCGGATAGCTGCATTCGGTCATTGACTTTGTTCAGGATTGACAGTGGTGCAATGCTTGTAATTGGCTGTTGAGCGTTTCACTCAGCCACTGCAACGAAATCAGGAACGAACGACCGTATTCGTTCTTTGTGGTCCGGCTAAGGGGAGAAAATGTAGATTACCTTGTTGAGCAAAGTCAACTTCGCTGCGCATGCACAGATCGTCAAAATGTAGACAACTAAAACCTCGGAGAATGCCCGTTGTAAATGCCCAATATACTACATTTAGATCTATGGCTGTTCGCCTGCTACACGACTATACTTATTGTACACAACAAGTCGGGGAGAACAATAACACACGACAACAGCTTAGCAAGGTCACGAGGCAACGCCAGCCCACAGCACACTACACTCTGGAAGGATTCACAGCCAAGTACCCACCATCGATCACCAATTCCTGCCCATTCATATACGCCGCAGCAGGCGATGCAAGGTAAACGGCAGTGCCTGCCATCTCGGCAGCGCTGTTACATTTTCCCGTCAGTGAGCGCCCTGATTCACGAATCAATCTTCACTCACGTTCCCGCCCTTCTCGCTGGTACAGGCACCACCGGCATACCAACCGAATCAGTTGCTTCTTGCCCTGTAATCGTGTCGTATGTCATCTCGCTTTCATACACGCCTGGCGCGATAGCGTTCACTCGAACATTGATTCCTTTCAGAGCAAATTCCGTCGAAAGCATCCTGGTAAGGTGAGACCCAGCAGCTTTTGAGCTATTGTAGCAGAACTTGTCCACCAAAGTCAGTGATGATCAACGAACGCGACCGTGACTTTGCTCACGTGTCTCTGTGCGAGCTTTATGAGCCCGCTGATACTCGTGATATTGATGACGCTTGAAGAGAATCCTTTTTTACCGATATCCTTAGAGCCCTTGTCGAGCAAATCCAAAAACGCAATAGTCACAAAGTAGATCGAAGAGGTGTTAATTGCGAAAAGGGATCCCCATTCCTCAAACGATTCATTGTTGAAGAGGTATTCACTAATTGGTCCGGCCTCCTTTTGAGCAGTAGTCGATGGTTGATTAAATTCATCAGAAACAGGACCACATTGGCCAGCACTTTGTTCGACCATGATGAGTCACGATAAAATAGGGAGAGTGAGTGTCATACTTGTTCACGAGAATATGTAGCTTTCCCTCTGTTTGAGATATTCTTGTCACACCAGCTTTGATGCTGTCCTTTTTCGTTACATCCATCTCTTGCCTATGTATTGTGCTTGATCAGCCTGCACGAAACGAGAAGAAAGGATGGACCTTACGCGATCATAGGTCCCATGTCGGCACCCTTAGTTGCATTCCACTCCGCAACTACTCCATCAAGGACATCCTTTCTTCGGCCGGTGATGTACACCTTGGCTCCATTAGCAGCGAGACCACGTGCAATATTAAGGCCGATGCCTGTGCCACCACCGGTCACTACAGCAATCAGGCCATTGAGATCGTAGAGATTCTTTAGCGTATAACTATCAGGGGAGGACATGGTGATACGAGCAACAAAAAGAGGCTGCGAGCGATTAGAAACAGACTCAGTTTGGGCGGAAGGGTCTTAGTGGCGCAGTAATTACCTGCGAGAGAACAACAACAAGAGGCTACTGTGTAGGGGGTAGTAAGTCTGATCGAGCATGGAATACATATAGATGAGTCTCACCTGAATCAGTTTGATTGGAAAGGATTAGTGAAGCGAAATGTAACGGGCATGTGGACTATATACTAATGTAGCACCCGGTAATGTAAAATATAGTGTGCTATTGTACGTGTGCGGTTGTAAGTGGTCATGAAAATGAGCGGATGATTTGCCGTACCGATACCTGCACGCTGCGTCGGATCATCGAAGGGCCAACACGTGAGATAATTGACACCTCGAGTGGCCATGCGGCCCACTAGTTGAATAGACGTGACTATCCGTAGGCTCAAGAATAGAATGGAATGGAATGAAAAGGACCAGTTAAGGAAGCAGAGCCACGATACTGCTGTTCATTTGGGTAGAATTTGCAAAACAATATCAGATCTGGGGTGCCTCTTCCACAGTCCAGACTATGGCGATTAATGAAATTGACGGTTGGGGCTACTGAGTGACTAACGCCAGAGCATGGTGATAATTGGTGATAGTTGTTGCCGTGGCTAGCTAGTAGTAGTACTGCGCCATCAGTGTGCCGCGCCAGTTTTACCACACCCCGGCAATTGCCGGCAGAGGGCGACTTCCACAATCTGATAGATTTCACCATCTTGTACATATCAGTTCAGGAATAACATATGTTTTTTATCATTTATTGAGCTATATCATTTGCACCATCCCTGCACTTGGCCAGACTCATCTTAAAATGTCAAACGAAAAGCATCGGGCCGCCACCCCTCACCGATAACTCCACGGAACTAGTGAACGAGTCAGTAACAAGTTCCGCCGAAAAAGCAACTATTGTACTCCAACCAGTGGCAGTGGGACCGTCCCCTGCTTGGCTTGCATCATAGGTCCGGGGCTGATCACTAGTCTATCCCGTCTTCCCTAGTCAAACCTAGATATAGAAGGAAGACGGTCGTTCGCAGTAGATGAATCGTCCAACATAGCTTCCATATGTGATACAATTTTGTTTTCTGTACAGCTTATCTTTTGCAAATAATTTTCAAAAGAGTCTGTAAATTATAATCTATTCTCCATCGTTTTGCCTATCCACTAGCACCTTACGTCGATTAATCTTTTGACAACATGCTGGTGAGGGGTGTACTGAGACGTAAGTTATCAACCTTTTTGGTGATATGCATTCGGTCCGTGTTGAACGGGCCGAGTCGGCCGAACATAGTTTCAGCCGCGGCTGACACGGGGGTTCCAAGAAAGAATGACGAAATGAACGCGCCCGTGGTTGGTTCACGGTAGTCTCCAGTTGCAGTAGGCAATCCAGATAAGACAAATTTGGGCGTGTTGATAACGAGTGTGTAAATCCCAATCAGGAAGATGTATCCATTGCTTACAGAAATCCAACAGGTATTTAGTTCACTAAACTTGACTCACGGGTGGATCTTGCAAGGAATGTGGGACCCCGTCTACCGGTGCGAAAGAACTGGCCTGTAAAGAATGGGGTAAAGTTGGGGCAAAGGTATATATATTGCTCACTACATCCACGCTTCGTCATGCAGTGGCAAATCTCACACTGAGGCGTTACATGTGAACAAGATTTTCAACACCATCCACTTCCAAATTGTGAAGTTCTTTGAAGCGTTTCGCAAGAGCAGGAATGGAGGAATGATCTGTCCAGCGACCCGCCATCGCCAGAACTTTGATGCTGGATGGTATTGTGACTTGAAAAAGGCTCAGGGCGTCTCCGAGTCCAAGAAATGGCGCTGGTTTCCACCAGCGTCTGTTAGCGGGTTGAAAGCGAAGGTCGACCAGGTGTAATTCGCGAAGGTTGGGCACAGAAAGGCGGGACAAGAGCGATGTAAGCTCAGGGGGTATATCGATATCCGATTCGTCGACGGCAAGAACGAGCCGCTCGAGCTGCAGAAGGTGAGTCTGTCCTGCAGGAACGTTATCGCGAGGTAGGTACAACACTTCTCCATCCAGTACTCTTTCCCTAAAACATATGCGAAGCTCACGTAGTGCGCATGAAACTCGAATCATTCCTAGAACTTCATCTACGGCGGTTGGCCCAGTTGTGAATCCGTGGTGAGTATAGTCGAGATATGTGAGGCGACCATAAAGCTCTGGCAGCCAGGTTAGGCGAATGCCATCAAGCGTGACGCTATGTAACCGAGGCGCAACGCCTGCGAAAAGAGCAAACTCCTTTGTGTCATCATTCTCTGGATAACACAGAGTAAGTCTCTCCAGTTGCAGCGCGCGCACCGATGGAGTAAAAGCATGTCTGCCCATGTTATCGTCCTGTTGTTCTTGACGACATATGGGGCCGAGAGCAGTGTTCCATAAGAACGGCGAGTAGCTTGAAAACCGCAGCTCAAATGAGCGGGCTCTGGATATGTGTGGGACAAGAAGATGCAGCTGTAGGGCTAATGCGTCCATATCGGGAAAATGGTGCTGCGGAGGTGTAATTGTAACGTCGAGGGAACACCCACGGGCGCGGGCTATGCGCTCCTTCCACAAACGCAATCCATGAGAACAAAACGACAAGCGCCGCCAGAGGGTATGCGTGTGTATAGCAAGCATCCTCCATGGGTGACAGACGTGGGAGATGGTGATAAGAAATAGGGCATCATCAAACGAGCCCAGCTCAAAGATACGAATGAGAAGCTCGGGAGGAAGAATGTGAACGGGATGATGTTGGAGGTTGGAGATCGGACTACGATATAGGGAAAATGTTAGAGAAGGGCGAGCGAAATCTGAGGATTTTGCAATTGAAGGTGATGATGATGAAGGGCGACAATCGGGGCGATCGACGATTAATGAACTGCAGGATATTGACTCTGGAAAGCGCCTGGTCAGGTTATATGGTCAGGGAGACGTTAGTAATGGCACGTCGAAGGGTAGACTTACTGCAGAGGGTGAATCTTTTCCTGAATCGCGCACGTGAATGACTTCGTGAGGGTTAACTCACGACGACGAGATCGTCTGAGAATCGATGGCATGCTGCATGGTTGGGGGGAAGCACCTTAGCGATGCCACTCATTTATGGATCCAGATCATGTAACTCCTGCGACACAGGGGCTCGTTAAACCTAACATAGCTCCGGCTTCAATTGTTTCCGAGCATGAAAACAAAGAGTAGTCCGTCGGGACAAAAGAAAAGCCTGAGGCGGCAGCAGAATTGCTGTGTCCTATCCTAGCACAGGTCTTGCCATTATTATTGCTTTGTGAATGGAATGGGTCTAAATAGTCTAGCGTCACTCACTCGTAATGGAACAAGATGGGGGTCGTAACTCTGATACTGAGTAACGTGGGTCTCTTTTGTGCCCCAGATTGGCACCTTCTAACCATGACCCGCTGTCAACCCTGCCGAGAACGTCCGGGAAATGACGACTCTAGGGCTATTCTACATGATTCTTGGGCCAACGTCTAGGGCCAGTCTGGGCTGGCTTCGGGCAGTGTTCAAACACTACTCGAATGTGGTGCTCTCGAGACAGCGTACCTTCATAGTCGACGGTATGTACGGTCTTCTCCTAAGTATCAAAAGGCACACATGGTACAAAGAAATCCATAAACACACCGAACCAAATCACTCTATACATGAACTAAGTTGAATCGTAAACGTCGAGGCGGGGGAGTCGGGATATCATGGAGCTCACATGAGCGGGTGTGAGGTGCAGTGGGAGGGCTCATGTAAGACGGTACGAGAGCACACGAGAGGAGGCGCTCGATGTTTTGATCAGTGAAGGAGAACGCTCAATGCAAGTAAGAGGGCGGCAGATGCAGGAGAGTGGTAGCAGACATGAGAAGGCAGCAGGAAGGGAGGGCGGGAGGTACGATGGTGATGAGCACATTAATATTACAACTCCGCTCGAACCCAGCCGTCGAAGCAAAGTTGTCAAAACCTTCTAGTTGACCACTGGTGTTCCTTGTTCGTTCCTTTCAAGTCTTCACTAGTACTGCCACGTATTGTATAGTTGTGCATCTCTCTGGAGCAGGAATCAGGCTCAGTGGCGTAATGATGCAATGATTATGTAAGTCCTGGGTGGAGCCATGTAGAGTTACCTTGCGGAGCAAGGTCTATGAATGCGGCGTGACCTGTGGTGGTAAACATCACAAAATATACACGTGATCATCGCGAACCGTCTGACACCAGACACACCAAAATGAATTAGACTGCGTTATTGCTGATTCTGCACAGAATTACATTATGGCGAATGAGATAATGGTACAAAGTATCTTCAAGAACGATCCTCCCGAACAATAATTACACTACTTTTTTTAAAATCCATCTGGCAAACTCATTTCATCACTGGCCCTCACACATATGCCATGCTATGAACGGCCCGAGGTTCGATAACAGCGCGAACAATTAACCTCGAGGTTGTTTCAACCACGCTGATGCAAAAGCACACAGCATATGCGAGGATGGTATGTGCTCCAATATCCAGAGCATACGAGAGCGCGAATGCGTCCAAATTGATTTATACCTGAAACCTGTCCAAGATATGAAAAAATGCATAGTGACAAAGACTACTCGCCTGAATATGAACCACGACTCCAATTGATCGTCTGACCTGCGATTCTACAAATGTAGCTGCTTGCCGTCATTTCTGTATGAAAGTCAACAGCCTGGCGCATTCCGCAATTAGATACGAGCAAATGACTAACTCAGATTATGTCATCACAACAGGTGTCATGGACTTCATTCACAGCGAACAATACGACGAACGAACGACATAACCATTATCAAAAATGCGGCAAAAGAGAACACAGAAAGTCCGTAAGTTAATTGTCAGACAAACAGCCCAAGCACCAATTTCTTAACTGACCACTCGAGGAATTTTGAGAGCAGCATCTCTCAACCGTTCTGCTAACAGAAGTGTATCTGCATACACCACTGTAGTATCTAAGTCGCGTGCCATTTTCTGAGCGATTCCTCAGTAATAAATTAGGGTAAAAGACGCCAACATATAACTAACTGACGTACGATTAAACTCTGCTGGATCTGCACATAACACTTGATCTGCAAGGATGGTAGGAGAGTCTGTATAAATCATTCGAGACCCGCTAGACTCAAAGGCTTCTTGGACAGCGGCCGCAGTCTGAATGAAGATATGAGGAGTGCCGCGAGATTGGTGTTCGACTGATGAGACACTCATCAACGATAAATAATGCACATAACGAATTAAACATACTAAATATAAAAGCACATTCGGCGTTGGAAGTCTTCAGCAATTCGAACACGCTAAGCTGCATCGTAGACCCCTTCGACACCCTTTGGAAGATCTTCGTATAGAAGACGAAAGAATGCGAGAACTGGTAGAAGACACCGAGAGACGTTTTAATGAAGGTGAATATGGACCCATATGAAAGTTTACAGCCTTTTGTATCATGCTCAGAATGTTGTGCGTCTGAACGGCGAGTAATCAAAGATATTTGGCCCTGTTGATATTGTGGGCAAGTCAAATTAAGCGAAAGAGCTCCGCAAGGTAAAAAGTCGGCAACGCCGACCCCTAGTATAACTATCATTGCGAGCACAAATCATTTATCAATCATGGCGACCAATAACTTACCTGTTGAGCTCTGGCATGTTGTTTTTTCTCTCACCAAAGTCCTCAAATTTTCCTTGAATGACCTAGCTGCACTGTGCCGGGTGTGCATTGGCTTCCATCATGCAATAGTCGACTCTTTGTACGAGTGCATCACAGTCGACAACTCTGATGTCTGCACTACCCTTGCAGAGCATCCCCATCTTGCAGAGAAAGTCAAGTCATTCATCTTTACATATCCAACCACGATGGGGTATGATAGTCCTGAGGTGCACCTGGATAATCTCACATTAGCCCTCAAAAATATGACCTGCCTCTCGACACTCAAGCTTATTCATTCCCAAAAGCGCTACTCATCTGTCCTTTGATACTGTGACGCCAAACTTCGTGTTTTTCATTGCACCTATGATGTTAACCTCCAATTGCTATCCTTCCTAAACAAGCAGGATAACATCCGTGATCTCGCTATCACTGGGGAACCAAGACATCGAGATACTTACTCTGAGTTCCCTGGGATACTTTCTCCCACATCTCTGCCACATCTAACAGAAATATCTGGTTCGATCTCTCTTCTACATGCCCTTGTACCTGGGCGCCCGGTTCAAACAGTGTGGTTCAAGGGCTGCCATGTACAATCCGCAAAATGGGGTCTTGATGAGATTGTTGGCCACTCCACAGTGCCTGTCAGGAATTTGGGACTTGATCTCACAATTTGGCCCTTGTCAGTACTATATAATCCTCGTGGACTACTTCCAAACCATGTTGAGGAAATCACGCTGACGGGTTTTGCTACTGGGGTCAGCAAAACACTTTTTTTAATTTATAACATTAATATTGACTGCCACACAGCGCCCGTTCATATCTGGGGAACACGGAATGAGCCACTGGATATATGATGTACATCGCATACTGGGAAGCACACCGAGTTTGAAAAGACTGACATTCTGGATGGAGGGAGAGCGCGAAGACGCGTGTGGATGGGCTCAGCTTCTCTTTCAGGAGTTCCATGATGAGCTGTCCCGTCTTGAGCAGGTCTCGTGCGTGATCGCTGGACCAGACATGTCAACATCATTTGACTTCTTTGATGACAAGTCGGGTTGCCTCCTAACTGGGCCTCGTGAGGATAATCAAACTCGGAGCCATCGGGCTGTGAATGACATTCGGGAGCTCATGCCACTTCCTATTTTATGTTGTTCGATGGGCGAGAAGGGCCATTGCGATAGAAAGACATTTATGTTCCTCCAGCTTGATCGCAGAGAAATGGAGGGATGGATGAGAATGATGGGAAAGTATCCAGAATTGCCCCGGCCCTGTGTAAGCACGCCGGCTTACCTGAGTTCCCATAATCAGTACATATACTGCTGAAAGCTAAGCTTTCAGTATTTCACCTTTTGGTGTAACGGTTATGCGGGCGGCAGTCTGACCATGTTACACCCTGAAGCAATGGTATTGGTCTGACTGATCATTCCATGTACTCGTTGACTCATTGTAAATTTGAGGTGTGCATGTCTATTTTCGATCCCATGGGGGACATTTTCGTATGACATTGTCTGGCTATTCTCTCAATAAAATGTGCCGAGTCCTGTGAGTGGGGTACTCCGCTTGCCTAAAAACATGAAACCTACGTCCTAAGTGTAGACTGATTCAGTTGTTGAAGTTGATAACTCGTGTGCATGAAACGTCGATGGGGGACGAAACGCTGTACAGTTACTACTGACCCAGGACTCGGTGGGAAAGCAAGTTCAGGCGTGAGGACTCTAGTATTTGGTATGCGAAGGTCATAGTTATGTATGATAATTCCTGGAATCAACGCGCTCGCCTCAGTCGACGGTCCACGAACTAGGTTGGCTCTTCTGCGACAAACCAAAATCAGCAGCTGAAGTAATATTCGGGGTCCGCTCTACACCACCTACGTACTAATCGCTGCAACAAAGTTGTTTGTCGAATTCAGCAAGTACTAGATCATTCAATAACACTTGACGCAGTCGCAGTCGACCATCCAAACGAATAAGTGCTCTTAGTTGCTCCGCTTCTCGCGTCATGGACGAATCTTCCTCTCTCGATGCTCTTGCGGACACGCTCACAAGACTATCCGCGAATTCGTACAGTGTTGACCTCCATGCACAACACATTCGCCTGGCAAAGTCCATGGACGACAAGGACCAACTGTTGGTTGCTCTTGAGATGGCAGCAAACTATATGGCAACACCAGACACCATCTGGCTACCTCTTATTGACGCGAAGACTGCTGTGAGTGATACAAATACGCCAGAGGGCACACTGGAGGTGTTGGGCGTATATTCGAAGGCAGAGTCGGACTATATGTGTATGTGAGCTGCAGTATGCGTTATAAGAGATGTTAATGGGCTGCATTTAGCCTTCTCCATTTTGCAAAAGCATCTAGGATTCCTAGTCGACCGTCACGAGTACTTCTCTGGGTTAGAGGTTGAACCAGACAACTTAGGAGAGCTATTTTCTGATAACTGGACTCGAGAAGCAATGTCTATCGTTGTTTCCAAAGGCACTGGTGACATATCACAAGTAAGTTCTTCAATACTGCACACCGCTAGACGCCGACGACACGCAGAGTCATGTACTATGGGATCAGTATTACAACTGGGAGCTTGAGATACTGGAGAAGGCCTCAACGGATGAGAAGTGCGTTGCAAAAGCTTCGACACTTCACAACTTGTAGCAACTCGCTCATGATATGCTAGGCCCCTATCAGTCGACGTGATTGAAAAAATTCTGCTCGCTCGTCTCCAGCAGCCACACGCCAGTAAGATACCATCATTCATGCACTCTTTCGATACTAAGGTTTTAACCATAGACCATCAGGACACCTACCAATCGTACTCCTCGTTTACAACTGCGCACAAGCCTGCCAGCGAATACGAATCGCTCCTCATATCTGCGTCAAAACTGCGCTCACGGGCCATCAAAGCATATGAGAAACGAGAGGCCTCAGAGATGGCGCTGGTAGGCAAACTACCTTTTCCTCGTAAATTTATGATTGTTACTCTGTTTAGGCAGCTGCTGGATACTCACTCGATGCATACGCAACTTACATCGCTGCAGAACAACGTCGAAAAGATCCGGATCATTTTATTCTCTGTGGATTGTACGAACGCGGCCTTGCAGAAGCGTCAAGACGCCAATTTGCTGGTGAGCCTGGCGCAGAACGGGCAATGCAAATGTTCTGGGTTGGATACATTGATTTTGTGAAATCACAAGGTCAAAGTGTGGAGTTTTGGCAACGTGCGACGCGCAGCGTACCAGGCTCGGGCGAAGTTTGGGCACGATATATTCGTTTCCTGGTAAGTTCGACGAACCTTGATCCATTCCCTCAACATCCTTATTCTCACCCCCAGGAACGGGACCAAGAGTCTGAGGCCAGTAAAGATGATATGGATGCCAGCAAAAACGAGGATATTGAAGGTAAAAAACCATGTTGAACTCCACTCCTCTTTTTCTCATTTATGTCTCTTTCCAGCTGCCTACACTCGTGCACTTTCAACAACCCTATTTACTAGGAACAGGAGGAGTGATCCTGAAATTGACGCTGACCAAATTGTACCTTTGGTTCTCGCTCGTGCAGGCGCGGAGAAGCGCGCAGTTGAAGCTGGTCATGCTGGCGAGAATAATTTGGCCACCTTTATCAAGGTCGTGGAGGATGGTATCGCGATGGTTCGCCAAGGTAAGAATACATACTGTTTGACCCGATCATTGATAGCAACTATAAGTACCCTTCTTCCAGCGTCAAATAGTGGAGATCCCCGCTTCAGGCTAGAGAAGTTCTTGTCTGAATTCGTATGTCAATTCATGAGCGCCGCAAACAAACTCAGCGAATTTTCCATGTAGTATCTCAGTCTCGCGGACGTTCCGGGTGCCGCCGTGCAACTATGGGCTTCCACAGCTGCTCACTATAGGTCAAGCTGGGCGGCTTGGGTGGCTTACACTGATGTTCTCATGTGCGCTCCACTTAATTTCATTTACCTGGATATTTAACTAACTGTGTCTAGCCGCACAGATCACCATGATCTTACCCGCAAAACCTTTCAAGATATGAGCACAAAGAATCTGGATTATCCAGAGGCCCTCTGGGATGCATGGCACAACTTTGAACATGCACATGGGTCCCTTTCTTCTCTCGAGGAAGCCATTAGCAAAATCACTCAAGCAAGAGCCCAACTTGAGACGCGGAGAGCGCGGGTAAGTGTGCTCATGTAATAATCTAGTAATAACTCAACCATATTCTAGGAAGCCGAGAAAGCATATGCAGCGGCGGCAGCACAGTATGCAGAACAGCAAGCTGCGTCGGGTGCAGCTGTATCTATTCTCGCGACAGGTGCGACACAAGGTTCGGTACCGGTTGTCAGTGAAGCGATGGATGTCGACTTCTCAGTTCCAGCCGACACGAAAGAGAAACGAAAAGCTGAGGAAGAACACCCTGTTACTGAAACCAGTGGGAGTAAGAAGCCTCGCCTCGGTAAGTCATCCATTACTGTTATTGCATTGAGGCTTTGACGAGACCATGCTTCCAGAAACTCCACCTATTTCCCTGAAACGGTATGGATGCCTTTATACTCGAAAGGATATTCACTTAACATGATCAGTGATCGAGAGAACTGCACCGTTTTCGTCGCCGACTTACCATCTGAGGCGACTGAAGCCGATCTCAAGGCATTGTTCAAAGATGCGAGTGTTCTATCCTCCTAATTTTGTTCCTCCTATATTTCTCACTTCCGTACATCTAGTGTGGCGATATCCGAGACGTCAAATTCACTCGTATGCCGGAAACACTTGTCGCAACGGTGGAATTTTATGATAGGGTAAGTTACATCATTTTACGGACCATACCGTGTGTATTGACACGTATATCCCTTCCTAAGGACAGCGTACCAGCCGCTCTTACTAAGGATAAGAAGAGGATACACGAGACCGAGATTGGCGTACATCTAGCGTGGCGCTCTACGTTGTATATCACAAACTTCCCAGAAAAGTTCGATGACACATCTATTCGTGATTTGTTCGGCCAGGTGAGCGACCTTGCTGCGTATTTTATACAAACCTGATTCAGTTCCAAAAGTATGGCCTTATCTTTGATGTACGATGGCCAAGCAAGAAATTCAAAGCTACGCGACGTTTTTGCTACTTGCAGTACACATCTCCGGTTTGTGATACTCTTTGTATGAGCTGTTGACATCTAACTTTCGCACGGCAGTCGTCAGCTGAACGAGCGCTCGAGCTTCATGGTCGCGAGCTGGAGCCCGATCGCGCTATCAGCGTGCTCATCTCAAATCCCGAGCGCAAGAAAGAGAGATCAGATGCAGATGCTAATGAGCGAGAACTCTACGTCGCTGGCCTTAGCAAATTTGCGACGAAAGAAGACCTAAGAAAAGTCTTCGAGACTGTGAGCCCGTTCTATGTGCAGTAGTTGGTTGCTAAGGGTGGCTGTTTCTGTCAGTACGGACCCATCAAAGAAATCCGCCTTGCGGAGGATAAGAGCGGACAGCCCAAAGGTTTTGCTTTCATTGATTTTGAATCAGAGGTATAGTTTGCACGAACATGCAACTATTTTGTTTGTTCAATATGTTGCTTTGTAGACGGATGCTCGTGCTGCGCTTGCTGCTAACAACCATGAACTGAAGAATCGACGTATCGCGGTCACCTTCACAGATTCTCGTGTGCGTGCAAAGAACAAGTTCAGTCAATCTTTCGCATCACTGTACAACACTCAATTTACTTTACCCGCCTTCTAGAGAGGGCACGGCCGAAACAGGTCTTGGTCGCCGCGCTGATGCTCGAAATCGTTCTGTCCGAGTTCGAAATATTCCCTCAGGAACACAAGAAGGGCTACTTCATCAGCTCCTGGAGAAACATTCTATCGTTAAACGAACTGAGATCTTCGCTGCTTTGAACGAGGCAGTGGTCGAACTTGAAAATCCTGCTGTTAGTGTTGCGTTCAGACGCTCCACAGAATCCTACTGACACATCTTCACGTTTATAGGAGGCTGGGAAACTACTTCTTCGGACTGAACCTATCATCTTGGACGGGAATGTATTACAGTTCTCTGAAGAGCAGGCAGGGCCCTTCCGTGGTCAGCCTGCGGCACCGCCGCCAGTAACTGGGGGCATGTTTGTACCTCGGGCGGCCGGGTCTCGGCCGAGAGCTGGCCTTGGTCGTGCCCGTAGACCTGGTCTCGGTGCCACGCAGACGCCATCAAATTCAGACGCCCAGCCACCGGAGCACACGGGGAAGAAGGGGCAAGACGACTTCAGAAAGATGTTGGGCTAGACGATCGCCCTTTCCATACTTTCCATACATCCCTGTTTCCAATTGCCACATTGACACGTAGTCTCATTCATCAGTGAGCTCGGTATACTGATGGTCTATCTAGTTTACCATCTCCTCTGTTGTGGTCTCGGATCCTATTTACGATAGGCAACGACTATGAAGGAATCTCTACCACAAATAACGAGAGACTAGTAAAGTTCCATGTGTGTCGACGAGAAGTAAGTATGTGACCACAGTCGTGGGCGGGACGTCCTTTAGTGGGAGGGATCGTGATAAGGGTTAAAGTGGAGGAGGATGAAGTGTCCAGCGCGCAATAGCTGTGGTCGTACAATAGTGCAAGCAAGACGTATGGTTATTAAAGATCATGACTAACAGCATAGCACGAAGCAGGGGGATGGCCACAACTTAACACCCGGTGAGAGTATTTGTGGGGAACTGGTATCCAGCTTGTGTCCAGGTTGTAATGTTGGGGTTGGTGTATGCGTTCAGATGACTGGGCAGTATGAGATATCGACTGATAGCACGAGGGCACGATGGATACGTACTTATTGATATAATTCGCAGTGGGGTAGTTTGGCGGATCACAGGTCAAGCCATTCTGGATGCCTTCCCGCTGGTAAACGCGCACGTAGTCAACGTACAATTCACTTGGAAATTGCATGTGCATAAAGTCTTGCGCCTGGAACGAAGCTACGGTAAAGCACGTTTAATGAGCAATGAAAGAGATGTCTCCGTTGGTTCCACTCACGAGCGAGACCCAGGTTCAGGATGATGTACTGCAAATGGCGTCAAACGTTGGAACAGGTCATACAACAAACAACTTACCATGGGTTCCTCAGGAATCAAACGCGCCGAGATCTGAGCTGTGCTATCCGCCCCGATAGATGCAGCTGTAATTTTCCATGTTTCTTGGCCTTCACTGTACCACTGGATGTATCCTTCTGGCCGGTTGCTAGGGTTTGACCACCATTCATAGCCATACTTCGCGAAGCCCTGCCCGTTGTAGTTCGCACTATTGATGTAGGTGATCGCGGATAAAGCCTGTTGGTAAACACCACCCTTGTAAGAGTTCAATTGGGTTTGAGAGTTCTGGAGAGTGGTAGCAGGTGTAGTCGAAGTGAAGTCATACTGATAGTTGTACGGTGCGACCTGGAACGATTGCGAAACTTGACCTTCGAAGACGGTAACGTCGACTTCGGTCTCAAAAATGTCGATCTCTGGAACTCCACGTCCCGTCTGCACATTAGGCCCAGGATGATCTTGACCAGGGCATGTGCAACTTGAGAGTCGTTGACCTGGTTGATAGCTCAGAGGCCCGCCACCATTTCCACCTGTAGCCGCTGCAGCAGGAACTCCACTCTGGGTTTGATTAGGCAGTGTTCCTAGGTCACAGGTGTCATAGCTGTATGGCCAAGTGCCTGCAAAAATGTAAAACACGAGTGAGAGAACACGCGCATTCACTCTCTAACCTTGGGTGGTGCCTCCATAACCAGCGCGTCCCTAACGATTTTGGTCATTACCACTGAAAGCCTCGCGGATTATAAGGACTCACCAAGTTGCCCATGGTCCATGCACCTAAATAACGGCATCAGTAAAAATAGATAGCACCCGATAGCCAACTTTGCCCACCAGGCCAGAAACCAGGAGCTAGAGGCGAGCCTGGCATGCTCACGTTGACCTCTATGTATCCCGTTGTGAAGCAGATCTTGTTCCATGTTGTAACCATGCCTATAAATGATGAGTCGACAGGGATCATCGCATTGGCGGCTTCCACACACCACTCAAGAAGTTGAGATTGTTTATGGGTTGTTCCGTTATGGTAATTACCATGCTGCCTCCTTTAGTCGTTACAGCCTATGATGAATGTTAGATCATGATGGACACAGGATCTGGGTGCTGCCACACCTGCGGAGCATACCACTCGAGATCACCAGTAGCCCTGTATCAGGGGGTGTTATATCAAGCTAACAATCTCACGTTGTCCACGCTCACCAATAATGAAGGTCCTCTGCTTCCCAGAATGGGTCGTCTCCAGGCCAGAATGTTCGACCGTCTGTATCAAATTCATCGCTGAATACCAGCTTGTACGTATCTCCATCGCTCCCCGTTCGGTAGAGATATTGTGACGGGGTGGCAGCGTCTATGAGGCTCGGCATGCCAGGGAGTAGTGGTATCTGACCCGATGCGTTTATTCCGCCCAAGTTGTATCCTGGTGTCGTGCCAGCAATCGTGGTAAAATAATGTATAATGGGGTATCCAGCAAACAGCGTGATGAGTCCAACGACGAGGATGAAAAGTGCAGATGCATTCGCCCATCCTCGTGCTGAGAAAATAGTGAAAGAACTATCGAGTGCAGCATCATTGACAGGATCTGGATTGTGCAGAGCGTCATCAAGATCTGGATCCTGAATGTCCCAGAGATATGGTGGGACGGTAGACGAGGTGCCTATAGGACCGCCGGGCTTTTCGCCAGTCGCAGAAGAGCCCTCAGAGGCGGCGGCGCTGAATCGTGAAGGGTTGTGAACGCCGTTATTCTGGGATGTAGATGGGTTGTACTTGAGGCGCCAGAAAATTCATAGCAGGATCAACATAGAGTGAGGAGTGCTTACAGAATAAGGACCATATCCCCCACCAATTTGACCACTAGCCACTCCCTGTGCAATGGCGCCCCTACCTGATTGCATCTGGCTGCCTGCAGAACCAGACCTTGCCGGGGGTCGTCGTGACTGATTATATGGGGCCTGCATAGATGAACTTTGTGGACTCTGCGGTACGGCGTAATATTCCTGGGCGCTTGGAGGAGGCCGACGTTGCTGCTGAGGAATCATGAGGGTTAAGAAGAAGAATGACGAGACTTGGCAACTCCAAGATATTCACAGGGTGGCCCTGACCCGTGGCTTCAACACTGGTCTAAACCTGGATGGATTGACTCTCCCACGCCGGCCAGCTTTGCACCGCTTCGACCATTAATACAAATATCGTGGTAATAGCCAGTCATCGAATAAGAACAGATCACATCGAGGGAATAAAGAATTAAACGAGGATCACGTATGGTCCAACAGCATCAACTACATATTCATCCTACATACCGATCCACTACCTGTGTTTCCATCGAATGTGAAAAAGTTTGCTATCGGCGCTTCTCGAGCGGCGAGGGCTTTCAAAATATCCTGTGCCAAAATCCCTCCAACAACCGCACATGTCGGCGAAAACTCATGCGCAGCTGATGTACTCATTGCACTGGAACACATACGTCATTTTAAAATCCCAAACAGATAAGCTTTAATAATGCGCACTCAATCAGATCTAGAGGAACTGAGGTCAGAACTTGTCGGTTAACGTCCGATGTAGCGAAGATAGAATTGGCTATCTGCCCTAACTCAGAGGCTGCGTCCATGTCGTCTGGGAGTTTCCCTTCATGGTTATGTTGATACTCCCAAAGGGCTGGCCAGTTGCATATCAGGTCATGCGCGTAGAATCAGAGCGTGATATCGTTTCATACCCAGAATGATATGCACCACAGCGGGGTTGAGTTCTTTTGTCTGGCGTTTTGTCAGACCTGTCCACCGATGCTGCAGAGCCATGGACAGCCGTGAGTAGGATGCAGTCGCTTTCACATTTTTTGGTGCTTCTTTGGGTGCCGACCGGTCACTTTCCTCAATGATGTTAGACGACAAAAGGAGCAGGATTGACGGCCGACAGAGACGAGCGGTCATTCAGAATAATGGATGGGGGCCACTCACGGAGAAATGTAATCATGCTTGAGCAGGTCGCAGAAGACGTAACCAAGCAAGCCAAATGTACCGCCAGCATAGAACGGCTTCCCAAATTGCCGACAGATGTCATTGATCTTGATCTAAGAAAAACAAATAAACTGACGGGTACACTGAAAATCATCGAACTTACCAAGGCTTCGCGGTCCCAATCCGTCACGCAAACCAAATCAACGCTCATAATCAGGGCTTCCAGAGACCCTTGCTCTAAAATCGTTGGATGTCTCAGGGTTTGCACTGTGACAAGCGGATTTAGTGCCTCTATTCGAGCCTTCGCAGCACCCACTCTCTATCAGAAAAACCGCTGGTAAATAACCACGAAAAATCTGCGAGAATTGGACTTGGTAGCACCTTTTTCCCCACGTCCTCATCTCTGAAAAAGAAGCCAGTTCCCAAGTCCTCCTCCTTGACATCTTCTGAGTCGTAAATGACAAGTTTCCCTATCCCTGCCAAAACGATGTTTTTGATTGCTTCTGTCGCAGTACCTCGCAGTCGAATAACCAAGATGGTGGCATTTCGCATTCTATCGATGGTCAGTTCAGTACTCGAGGTACAATGCGAGCAAGTCATGTCTGCTACTTGTGTAACTACTAACAAAGGATCGTGCACTCACCGTTGTTGAGCTTCGAGGCCCCATAATCGGATCTGGCGGTCATAAACAGCTGCTTCATCTGCATAACCACCAAGGTTCAATTGTCATTGCACCAAAAGAAGACGCGTCTCCTGTCAGCATATGGAGCCAATTGGCAGAGATTGTCCAACCTTCCGTAATCTGCACTGGGTCGCCTTTGCTCCCTGCTTCGTATTGTGTGTCCATGACGAATTGGCACGACAACTAATAAGCAGGCCAAGAGGAATCACGCTTGAATGACTGGCATAAGTAAAACGTTGACCGCTTTGGCCAAAACCACTTTGCGAGTCACATGATGTCACAGGGTGGTCACGCTAGGCCAAACATAGAACTCCCCTATTCTCAAGCAACAAATTTAAGCTCCAACACAGAAACAGGTTATGAACCGTCCGACAAAAATATAGTTCAGTCAAGATAGCACCATGATATTTAAGGTCGGGTGTCATGCCTCTGAAAATGGACCATTGGCATCCGTATGCCAATCATGAATATGGTATGATTGTTTAGAATTCTAATGCTAAAGATAGCAAGCTTGAGAGAGAGCTGACAGTCTAACTGAACGAATATCGACTATCGATAAGTTTAGAAAGAACACTGGTGTGTGCGAATAGACGAGTCCAGCGATATGATACACCAACCCAAAGAGAATCTATGATACAAGGGCAACAAAAGGAAGTAAATAGATCATGTACCAATTTTGAAAAGCACTAGATCATGGGCATGCCACCTTCGCCACTTGATGTGCCATCACGATCGTCGTCGAGACTGGCATACAGTAATGAGCTTCACAGACTTCACACGTAGGGAATCTGATGGCCGCAACTCACAGATAATTTCTCTCGACTTCGGACAGAATAGATAGGAAGTCCCCTAAGAAGCGTGTCAGAGAGATAACGGTACGGCGATAATCGCGTGAAACGCACACAGGAAAGCATGGGCACGCGCGGCCGATGCCGGAGCGGTCTCCGCCTTCCGGACAGCATCTAGCAAGGTGGATGCGACGAATCGCACTTTGTGCACCTGGATGGCGCAATGATATTACTTGAAAAATTCAAAAACCAACACGGAGGATTCTCACCAGTGATGGACCATTAGTAGCGATTGACTGGATAGGGATGCTGTGGAAAAAAGTTTAATAGCACCGTGTCAAATGCAAGAAGTTCTTGCCTGTGAAGAATATTGAGCAAGTCACTTGCGACCGCTTCCCTATCCTCGGCGACCTGGTGTTCATCAATACTACCCTGCAAAGCCATAACCAATTCATCACGGTATTGCTCCACCACAAATCGAACGAGTTGCTTGATCAACAGGGTTAACGGGATTTTAAATAACGCCGTTTTATCACAACTCACTTGAGTCACGTAAAGATTTGCCTGCATGACAAGGAACGGGTTAAGGGCGTTTGCACGTGAAGCTTTGGGGTTTTCGAAGAAGTCCTTGACCTCCGCAAATGTGGCTTGCCTGAACCCAGCGCCACCACACTCCGCTGGAAGGCGGCTGTGCCGACGGGTCTGTTTCAGCCTCAGGGGCTCTGGTGTGTGCACGAGAGCCCCCATAATACGCGAGTGCAACGATTGGACCTCCTCCAGTCTCGCCGTTGCAAATTGACCCTGTGGAGGTGACCGCTTATCGACTCTGATACGAACTAATATTTCACCGAGAAGTGCAAAAATCCTGGAGATGTAATTTAATCCTGAGACCAGGGCTGTCTTGCCACGCGGCTGAGGCAGATATGCGCTGTGAATGATGCTCAAAGGAGAAGTTACCGAAATGATAAGCTTGGTTAGTTCTTGGACGAGAAGAAAAGCGACCTACTACTCGTCATCGAGTTCCTTCGGAAAGTGAACAGTGCAATCTTCGTCGCGAAGACATATGGGGCGCCCCAAGAGAATTGACATTGACTTGTCGGCTGCAAATCCCAAGGTCAAGTTGTTTTTTCCGTAGTTAAACATGTTTTTGCATCGATGAACGACACAAAACGAGACAATCCAAAACGTACCATCAAAAAGTAACCAAAATGTTCGCCGTCTGACCTCGCATTCAATGGGGTCAAGTCCCTCGTAGGAGGACTCCTCATGCATGCGCAGAGTAACGGCAATGTGAGCCGCTTCGCCGAAGGCCGCGTGCTGCGCGGCATCATTACCTTCACAAAAGTGGTAGATACAGTCGCTAGCGATAATGAATGGAGGTAGTCATGAAAGATAGCCGAACCACGCACAAGTATCGGATAACAACGTGCATAGACATGGGAGGGTCGTAGGCTGCAGTAGTGATATGTCGGCTGGCTTCATAACACCTCTGCGCAAGCTTTCGCACAACCGAGCGCTCCATGGGTACGTAAGATCGTGGTACTTGCACCAAGGTTGATGCTACTGTGGACATGACAAGAGCAAAAAATAGCGGGTCGCGTTCTTCTCTCTTGGTGTGCAGGTCCGCCATGAACGATGGTTTGTGGATACATGGGGTTAGCGGGTATACGAAGTCGAAGAAAAGAGCGATAATGAGTGAAATACTGTCCCGGGGAGCAATGTCTTCCAAGCGGTGAGGTCGATAATAATATGAAAGTGGGGGTACGACACTCGGAAGTAGAACCGGGAGGGGCTGCTGACTTTTAAAAGACCAGTTATATGCGGGAAATCCGCAATATGACTCAGAAAAGGGGTATGATTGATTGTCGTCTGTCTTCTGAGGGAGTAGGGCGCCACTAGTGGATGTCGGGAGAATCGTATTAACAGGAGGGTAATGATTGTGATATGAGTCGGCTGCGATAGGGTATCGGGATGGGGGAATAATGGGAGCGGAAGTCTGGATTGGGGCCAAGATGGGTTCCAGGGAAGGGGACTGTATGTGCTGCTGCAATGGGGATAAACTTGAATGTATTGGGCTAGCAAGGGATTGGTTAGCAGAGGTAGGCGATACTGACGCAACATCGTTTGTCTGATTATTCTGCTCAGATTGAGCTGCAACAGCGGCAGCGGCAGCTTCTTGTAAACGACGGAGATATCTAAGGATCTAGCATTGGTATCAGGGAAGAGTGTGGCCCTAGGAGATCACTTACAAGTTAGGAGGTCCTCTCTTTTTTGGTCGGTAGTCGTAAGTGCAAGGTATTCCAAGGGCTACGCAGTGCTTGCATGTCTGCTTCGGATCTTCTAGATTCTCCCGGACGCATCGAACCTTTCTGGCTCTACAAGCATCACAGCCTGTTCGAAAGAAGGGAAGGAATCACTTAATCTCGATCAACTTTGGAGAAATGAGCGCTAAAACATACTCTGAGATTGCCGCCTGTTGAATGAAGAAAGGGATGTGAAGTTAGAACATTGTATCTTTACCAAAGCAGAGAAAAAAATGACATGACAAGCTCGCTATTTCAACCGATAGTACTAGATCAGGCTCGACCCGGCTACGAAGGTCGTATGAATCGGGTTAGACACAATGGAGGTAGTGGAATGAGATGGGGGGTTTGAAGCTCAACGGAGAAACATCGGTCTTTATGAGGACACGGACGCACTTTCTCTGGCCTCTGCTGTTTTCGGCGGTTGTTGATTCGTTTGGATCTGCGTCGCACGATGTAGGCGAGACAGATTTAGCGTCTTTTTTTGCTCGCACAGCAGGCATGCGTGACAGTGAAGCTCTGAGAGGTACTGGTGGAGACGGAACCGGAAACGAACGAGTTCTCGTAGCCACGGTGATTCAATGAATAGTTAGTAGTTTCTCGTGTCCTTTTCTTGGCTGGAACCGGTAAGATATTATAGGCCTAGGTACGCCTTGTGCTCCCAGCTAGTAGACACAATTAGAGAAAGCTTCTCTGACGAGCACACAACATCGGCCCGTCGCCCGCACCCCACTTTAGGAAGTATCAAAACACTGACAAACAACCGCCCTCAAGGACCTGCTGGGATCACGTCTCCAACGGTTTCCGCTTGACAACACCCACGCAAATATCGTATTAACAGTACTACGGTCATTCGCGCTTCCTATGTGTTTATGACCATCTGGTCGCGTGGCAGCCAGCGATATCCAAGGAAGATAGTCATTCCGGCTACTCCTTGCAATTTGAGCTGCTCGTTGTCATTATGTAGGGTGAATAGTTTATATCTACAATTTGCAATCCGCATGACCATCTACAATAGCACCCTCCTCTCCCTCAACTGAGCAAGCATCTGTCGACCACGACTCCGACTCAGCGCACCCTCTTGGCAATGTCGTTGGATCATATCGGCAATAAGCCGTCGTTGAAACACCTGTTTCCTATCTCCCCATTCAGTCTTCTCCTTTACCAGCGTCTCCCAGAACTTGAACGCCATCACGGGGTCATCAAGGCGGAGTGACGCAAAAATGCAGTATTTCCCGGTGTTGGGCGTGTGCACGACGCTCGAGATGTCCCCTGATTGAATGATTTCCCAGGCGCGCTGCAGATTCTCCTTCAAAATCGACTTGGGAGCCCCGTCCGCGTTTACACTCGCCCTTATAAGCGAAGCAGTGGTTTTGGCTGACAGCTCCTCGCAACCAAGCTCTTTGGCACGACCAATCAGGTAGCCAGCGAGCCTCATCTCGCCATGAAGGATGGCATGATGAATAATGGTTCCAAATGTCACTGCATCAGGGCGTATACCTCGTTCAACCATCTTTTTCAGGATGCCCACCGCCTTTTTTGGATGAAGCTCAGCCATGGCAGATAGTGCGATGTTAATATCGTAGAGGTCCGGGATTTCATAGCGCTGAAGTAGAACTTTAAGCATGTCCAGACCTTCGGAAACACGCCCAAGCGTAATGTAGGCACGAGCCAGTGTGCTCAGATCATAATGAGATGTTTCCTCTAGAGAGCCTTTAGACATGCGAAAAGCACCAACGACCAGTTCGACGAACTGGAGCAAGTGCTCCAACAGCTTCTGCCGCTCGTCGAGCGTCGAAGCTGTGCTCGGGCTAGCCTCGTCTTGACTTGACGCCGGCTCCTCTATCTCGGCCTTGGTGCGATATATGAGCTTGGAAAAGATGCTGACCATGCGAAGCATCAAGGAAGCATTGCCAAGGACCGCTTCGCGATCCTTTCCGACAGAATAACGCTCCCACAATGTACGTGCGGAGGAGGAGAAACCATGGGATGCGGTGAGAGCAATGAAATGAGCCCGGTCTTGCACTGGTATTGGCTCCATCTCGTCGACAACTTGCTTGGCTAATGTCCGAGCCAGGTGTACGTTGCGGCTGGCGATCGTAAGATGGTTCATGAGCCACGTCAATGAATATCCTCGTGGAATAGGATACTTCTTCCTCCGAATGACTCTTGGGGATTGTGTATCCTTGTAGAAAATTTCCGCAGATGGACCATCTTGCAAGTGCATGGCTTTGTCGTAGAATAGGCGAACCATGCTATCTGGGACGATAACACTGCCGGCGGAATTGATGAGATGTCGTGTAAGCCATGTACAGTGCTTGAAATGATTGGGAGATGCGTTATGCAGAGCAAGGTGTAGCGTGCTAAGCGCCAGTTCAGTGAGTGCAATATCAGTGGAAACCTGAGTCCGGATGGCAGTGACCACGATGTCGAGTGCACGGTGGTACCAGCCCCAGTGGAGACAGGCTCTGACCAATGTCGACCTGACTACAAACGCAAAATTGTTGTCCTTTGCAGACGTATGATACACTTCTGCGAAGGCTTCTACTGGGATATGGCAGGTCTCGGTGAGAGTCTGGAAGAGGCGGAGCGCGTGTCTGTCTCGGTCGAATATGATCAACTTATGAATCAGGCCAAAAGCTATGAAAACATCGCCCGGAGGGCGATAGGACATAGACTTTGCACCTTTTGGCGCGGATTGGTGTGTAAGGGATTGGTGGAAGATAGGGAGGAGGATATCCGCGGTCTTTGCATCGTACGGATCTATGCTGGGGTTGTCGACAATACGCTTGACTAGTGTGGAGATATTCGCGGAACTTAATTCAGAAAGCGCGTGTAATTGACGAAGGAGGATGAGGAGGGAGTAAATTTTCTGCTTGTCAAGAATGGGCGGATCGTGGTGTGTCGCTGACAGCAACGCCGTAGCGACTCGGAGCTGGCGGTTTGAGGTGGTGATGATCCCGTCCAGTAAGTCTGTAGCAATACCATCCACGATAGTCGACAGTCCATACTTTGTGGCCTTCTCAGAGAGAGCGACAAGAATGGGGAGCGGTAAAGACGCGGCCAGCGTTCTGTCCTGTGCTCGCAGTTCCGCATAGGCCGCAAAAGGGTCGGGTAGAACTTCCACCATTTTCTCCACTTGTGTAGACTTCTTCGGCATCTGTGGAGGTAACCATGTTGAAATGCACGTAACTCTCTCCAACAACTCTTTCTCAACACGGGAAGTACGGTGAAGCATAGGCGCCAAGTCCACAGCCTCCGGCAAGGCATTATGCACAGTGACATTGGCAAGCCCCGAGTGAGATACAGCTTTGCCATGGATCTGGCTGCCAGTTAATTGTTGCGCGTAAACACGAATCGGGGTGTGTACTCGAGGAAGTAAACGGCGACAAAGTAACATAAGTTAGCTGTCTCAGGTAAATGTCAGGTCAGACCACGATAAACTACAAAACCAATGAATTGGCTCACCGCATGCCGCATGGAGTCAGTCGACGAAATAGTATCGACACCCCGAATGGACGCGACTTGCGCTTTGCGAAAGAAAATTTGGGTAGGGTTCAAGGATGGCTAAAAGCAAACAATGATAAACAACCTATCTAGTGCTACTGTCTCCAACACCGTTGCAATTGATGTAAGACTCGAAGTTTCCCTGTAGACTCCATGGGAGCAGGACAATCATCGACATCTGCAGCACAAGCGCAAAAATCCCATGCCCTGCATGTCTTACGAGTCACTGCTTCATCGCCAGCCTCGCAGACGTCCATAGAGCCATTCTTTGACTTCATCGTTGGCTTCGACGGCAGCGATGCTTTCTACGCTGAGAGCGATATAGATGCTACAGAGCTCGAAAGGATAGTAGAAGAACATGAGGAGAAAACGCTTAATCTTCTAGTCTGGAACAGTAAAACGCGCACAACTCGAGGTGCGTCTAGTCTGAGAGGACACGTCGCTTATGGTGTCAACTTACGATGTGATCAAACTTAGTTGTACCAATTGTTCCCTCGCGGGCTTGGGCTTTGACACAACAAGCATCTATCCCACAAGACGATGTTGAGAACTCTCCTCAACCTTCTTTGTTGGGTTTGAGCATGCGGATGTGCGAATTCGAGAATGCGACAAACAATGTTTGGCATGTTCTTGAAGTTCTAGAAGGAAGTCCAGCAGAAAGCGCCGGTCTTGTTCCTTACGGCGACTGGATAATAGGATGGTCCGGCGGCATATTGACCGCGGAGAACGATTTTTACGATGTCGTGGAAGCTGTATGATATTATCTGGATCTTGTGCTATTTTGAGCCGCTAAACATTTTGTATTCACAGCATGTTGACAAGCCGTTGCGAGTTTATGTCTATTCATATGATTTCGAGTACGTTCTGGTGCTGGAGATTGTGGCTTGCATTCCTCTGACCTGCCACTTCTCAGCAACCTCAGAGAGGTCGTACTGGTGCCCAATCGCCATTGGGGTGGCGAAGGGCTATTAGGATGCGTTTTTGGGTTTGTTTTTATATATAATTCAAACGGATCATTGGACTAACATTATTTTTGATAGCTTTGGACTTCTCCACCGCATTCCGTCGCAGACGGCGGACGGCCCATCAGGCGCTGTCCTCCAGAATTCTCACAGTGACCTTGAGGATCAGCAGCTCTTTGTTCCCGCCGATGTTTCACAGGGCTCACGATCTTTCGGGGCAGAAGATCAGAGACGTCCTTCCTTCGGAGTTCACCAGCGCCCAAGTGACATTGCACATCCTCGTCCCACCCACTACAATGAAGCCACGCAAGGGCGACGGCCCGCTGGCGACGTGCTCCGGCGTGACTCAGCGTCAACCGCTTCACGTCCTGGGACACCGAGACGGTCCACCAACACGCCAAACCCTGCACCACAGACATCGAACGCCAGCCGTTCATTTGGTTCACTCCTCAATGGTGATTCGTCACCCCGCTCATAGTTTCGTTCTCACTCAAGGATCTACGCACATCAAGGTACTGGAGTAACAGCAATGTTTTCTGGCCCAAGCGCCCTCCAGTTCAGTACTAGCATGTCTACAGTTACCGAGAAGCTTCAAGGCGATGAGGAAGACAGTGATCATGATGGAACGGTCAGCGTGTCTGGAACGGAAGCCACGGATTATGGCAGTCTGACCTCTGTTGAATGATGACCGAATAGCGCATAATCGAATACTATCTGACTATTTAGAACCATGTTACTATAACCAGGTGTACTGCGCCGAGCTCTAGGATTTCGTTCACCTCTATCAATCATTGAACGTTGTTATTTACATGTTCGTTCCGCCTCCCCCTGTGTCTGTTCATCGAGCTTTCTATCTCGGCGATCAGCAAAAAAAAACTGTATACACTGTCAAATGTTTCAGCTGTAAAACTTACTCGCAAGTCAAAAACAAGGGGAAGGTGTCATTAAATATATCAGGAACATATATACATGATGTCCTTGCAATAACGCAAGCTTATTACTCCTACTTCTAACCCTCAGTCGGTTCCGCATCCCCTGTGCCTCCCGTCTTCGGGTTAAACTCTAGATGCTGTGCGATCAAGGGCCACACTGGATGATCCGTCACCTCCCATGTCGTGAAATTGATAGTCCGAACACATACCTTCCTCGAATCCAGGATGTCTTCCTATGCGAATTTGTTGCCACACACTGCGCATCGCGTCTGAAGAACGGATATCTCCCCAGTGCTCAAGGAAGAAATTAACTTGGACCTTGCGGACATCCGAAAAGGTCGCAGAAAATGGAGAAAACACCTCGTATGGAATATTGTCGACGGTGAACGACTTCTGAATGTGCTGTATCGTGTGCGTCAACACAAATGTCAATCGTATGAGAGTACGAACTACCTGGTATGCACGCTCCTTCAAATCAAGGAGGCCAAGTTCTATACTTTCCGATTACAGCGAATAACAGGAAGGCGTGTAATTAACTCACTGTCTGCTAATCGATAAACAGCCTTCGCAGAACAAGGCGATGGTCGCCCTGGATGACTTTGTTGCCACTTTCGGATCCACTCTCTCCTTGAGGTGGGAGTTTCTGTCGAGCTCCCTGCTTTTGGAATGTCGAGTAAATTAGACTGACTATCAGAAGGGGCTTGCGCTGTTGACACTATTGTCGGAGCCCTCTTTCGAGCCGTTGAGATGAACGACGAGGATATAGGGGCGAAGACAATAACATCAGTGTAAATCTGGAATGCATAAGTCATAATTGTACCAAATATATCCCAAACCACGCTCACGTAGTAGAGAACAGCCTTGTAAGTTGCATATGCGACGTCCCGAATAAAGACACGCATTTTCTTGGGTCCCGCAACCTCCTTGCCTTCAGTAGGTGCTGTAGGTTTAATCCAATTGTATGCATTCGTGTCAAGAGCCACATTATTACTCCTTGGGGATGACGGGTGGGACAACTTGGGTTGAACATTACGTGTCTGTCCGTCTTCCGGGCCACTCAACATTTGAGCATCTTCCTCTACGCAATGGACGTTTGCCTCGGTGGTGCTAGTACTTGCAACTGGCACAGAAGGTCCAGCGTCCTCTTCGATCTGCAACTCTACAGTGCCGTCAAAACTGGGTTCATCAATTGTTTGTGTCGTAAATTCATCATCTTCGTCATCCGAATCGTCATACTGACGGCTAAGATAGGTGTCGTCTGAGGCGCCATCGCCATCATCGATATCATATTGGCCATGGTCTGAAGAAGCCTCGGAGAATCCCGAGCTGAACACTAAGGACAGCGAAAGTGTAAGCATCATGTACTGTACTGATCCAGTTGGCCTTACTAGTCTGAAAGTAATCTGCTCTTTGCAATATCTTTCTGTTGGCGTAGATACACCTAAAACTCTTTGACCTGCCTCGGCAAGGGAGGACGAACTCGACATCGGAGTATAGTGGATCATCAAGCAGCGACCCTACGCGTTCCAGAAAATCCTTCGGTACAAGCTGAACTGGCGCTGATGGTGGTTGCGCAGGAACGGTAGGAGATGACGTGATGGTGCAGATGATGAGGAAAGCGTCCTGTTCCTTGACGGCATTTGAATGATAGTATACATGATCTCGTCGCGCAAACTGAGCCCTGTCCAAAGATGTGCCAACGTATCTCGTGAATAACGGGACGCACGCACCATCCCCAATTGGCTGTCTGTGTGAGCCAACTAAGCATGGATCGAAAAGTTAACCGAAAAATATACCTTCGATGAAAACGAATGATTGTGAGCTTCTTTGATATTGAATAATGCAGTCTTTCCGAGACTATGGAAAGAATCAGTTGCAGACGAACCATAAACATGTCAAGTCCGACCTTCGAAGTTCGAAATTGAATTTATAGACGCCCTCTCGTACCCACCTATGAATTTGAGGTTAGTGTGCGGGAGGATATGGCCGAAGTCGGCCGAAGCCTTCATAAGACGTACTTCCCGTCCACTGCATTGTCTTTTTCTTCAGCAGTGGGCTAGAGATAATGACGTCAATAACGAGTTCGTGGTACAAGGAACAATGCAAGGGGCGCACTTCACAGGACAGATACAAGCTCACGAACCCTCCACCCTCCGTCCCAGAGTTTGCATAAAAAAGAATCTGTATAGCGGTATTCGATGAAGCTATCCGGGGAGGCAATACAGTACTAGTGTAACACATACCTGCCAGCGTCCATGTCCAAATCTCACAGACTTGGTAACCTTTGACTTCGATTCACCTTTGCTACAATTCTGGTCAGCGGCAGCTGGGAGGTATTTCAATGCGATCACCTCGATTCAAAGATACTCTTGAGACCTCGAAGGGTCCATTCGAAGGTGACTGCCGTGCTTTCTTGGGTGTCTGTTTTTTCCATCACGAGTGACTCGGATGAAATAGTTTAATGCCGACAAATCAGTAGAGGGTGTGAGAATCAAGGCTTTTCATGGGTACAAGACGAGATATGTGGACGATATTGAGACAGAGGCTCTATTACGTTGAGCCGTGTGGTAAACATGTGTGCGATGACTGGCCATGCGATGATTTGACTAAGTCCGTAGCCCCTGTCCGTCGCTAAATAGGTACAATGTATACTGAACATGGATGAAAGTAATCAAGCTGCGTAAAAGCTAATGCGACATGATTCACTTTTAGTATATGTGGACTCATCTAACAATGTATCCAAGACTCCTCAAGCCGATGGGGCCGGGTCAGTGGTATTTTCCTTTCCTTCAATAGTCAACGCGTCCATCTCCTTGTTCATGAGCCTCAGAGTCTCCACGGGGTATGAATGATCAACGATGGTAAAAGAGATCCCCGCGCACGAATACAAGTGATCGAACGTGTCACTAGCTTCAGCGGGATCGTGGTCCTGGGTCGGGTCATAACCGGGGATGATCCGTTTGATTGGGATGAGCTGCAATTTTACTTTTGGAGCAGACCCACATGGAATGAAAGCACGAATCAAAAGCTTCTGCCCCGGCGTTTTGCTGTTCCGTGCCAACTCTACCATAGTGTCCCACTTTTGTTGCATCAACCTGTCGCACTTGCAGGTGTCTGGCACAGGGAGGGATTCTGTAGAGCCAACACCGATGCGGAAAGGGATGCAGGTATAATCAATCTCAACGACAGCAGGCCCCGGAGCATGTATTGTCGCTGCCTTGGAGATTCGCTCGTTATGATACGAGAGATCAGATGCAATGACGCGGTCGAGAAAACGGAGATCACGAGTAGAAATACGGGACATGATTCCTTCTGTGAAGAATCTATGAAATTCGGCATCAGTTGCAAATCTATGAAACACGCACTGGCACGGCGAGCTTGTATTCCGCGACAATATGTTTGATGGCCGCCTTGTTTCCAATCATAAATTTGACATTCCCTACTACAGTAATGCACGTGAAGGCAACCAGCGCAGCGCTTGAAGGTGCCCGCTGCTCCCGATTTATTGCACTGGACAACAATCACTGTGAATATCATAGGGAATATGTGAGATGGTAAGCACCTTTGAACTTTGACAAGAATCAACATGTGCCTCGTCGACGTCATCAGTCTCTAACAAGTTAAGTCGGGTCATCACAAGTGTCTCCAATGTGGACCAGTGTTTGTACATTGGACCACCCGGCTTTGGCCTATCCACGGCCTTAACGGCGTTTATGGCCTTGATAGACCGACCCATCACTTTGAGCACGGAACGAAAAATCGCATACTTGGGGAAAATGGTCGAGAGAAGAAGCCAGAGTGGCTCCCAGTCTTCGTCATTATTATCCTTGAGGTATCTAACCCACGGCTCAACCGCTAGCAGCGAGGGCAACAGACCTGCCTCGAGGACCTCGGAAATCCAGGGTAGCCCATCCGTGTCTTCCACATACGCCCTGATATACCAACACGCGTACGAAATGGCCTTAGCCACTAAGTGGCGTTTGATGCAGTGAGGCCGCTGAGATACCATGGTAGCAATAACGCCTGCTGTTTTCTGCATGGAGTGTTGCATAAGTAATGGAATGCGGACCGTGTTGTTTACAGAAAGGGAGGTCAGAAGGTGGATATCCCAGATAATTAAATCGTAATCAATAGGGTGCTGTGCGAGGTCGTGCTCTAGATGATCAAGAGCTGTGGCAGCGATCCTCGCTCCGTCATTATTGAATGGGCGCATGATTTCGTGCCAATTCCAGGTCTCCGTCTCAGAAAATGTGCACATCCAGGAATCTAGAATGGCTGGAGTGCGAATGATCGGAGGTGGACCAGGGATGTCATCGTCTTGCACGCAGGAGCTGAAATGACGATCCTTTGTTTCTAAGTCCCACAGACTGAACATCAAAGATACGATTCCGGGGCTAGACAGGACGATAGGAAGCGAGTCCCCAAGCATATCATGCCTGCAGATTCCCAAGAAGTCAACGATTGCTCGCTTGGCGAGAATACGCATGCTTCTATCGATGCTTTCTTTGTACACGTAGTCTGTCCCGAGGAAAAGCAGCCATTCGCGGATGATGGGCCAGCGGGAAGTCAGTATGTTAAGCATTCTGGCAGTGTAAACAGAGCGGCCAAGCCAGAACGGCATGAATGACGCTAGGCCTCGCAAAGCCAAAGCCTGCTGCAAGGGCTCAGCAATGAGACCGCGCTTGACTCGTTGGAGATGAACTGAGTCTACGATGCCATACAACGCGATGGTGATTTGATACGCATCAGGGAACGTGCAGTCGTCCCTCAGAGTAAAGAGAGTGGCTGAGGCGACGGAGTCGAAAGACCCTTTGCTCAAGTTGTCTAAAATGTTCTAGATAATTGAGAGAAATGGTTAATTGAATGTCTGGTGACGGGTAGAAGCACGGTAAACCTTGAGCTCGTTGGAAGACATGACGAGATGGCCTGGTTAATAAAACTCGTTTTCCTAGTGGCGACTCGAATTATATATGCCCTTCCACATGCTGAACAAAAAGGTTTGTTACATATCGGATTCGTCAATAGCGATCTAGTGATCGTGCCGGGCGATGGAAGGCATTGCACTGCAGATCTACAGATGCTAGGACAGATGGGGGCCTTCTGAATGAATCTGCAAGCGTTCATAACTGGATGATTTATCATGAGAGTCTAGGTTCCACATGATCCTGATACTTGTGCCACCTGGTGCCACACACATGTTGTTGAGAAATGTTGGAGCTCAAGCCTAGGTCCATCGGAAACTGTACTGTAAATTCTGTATCACGGGGTCCTTGCCGAGTTTTACATTTGACCATGTCGGTCAAACTTTCGCTGGAGCGTATTCGTCTTCTTGCAGCACACCTTCCTCCATATTCACGTCCTACTGTTCATGTCGCTGGCACAAATGGCAAAGGAAGTGTCACCTGCATACTATCATCCATTTTCCTTGCGTCGGGTCTTACTGTTGGTCGATTCAACAGCCCTCATCTAGTATCCGTCCACGACTCCATTTTGATCAATGAACAGAGTGTATCACTAGAGGAATACAGTCTTTCACGTGCAGCTGTTGAGAGCGCGGACCAAGTCCATGGCACAGAGGTTAGCAGTTTCGAAATGCTGACGCTCGTTGCACTGCAGGTCTTCGAGAAACTTAGAGTGGATATTGTGGTTATTGAAGTGGGCATGGGTGGTCGCCTGGACGCGACCAATTACATACCAGACGAATCCATACTCCTCTCTGCTCTCACGACAGTCGATCTTGATCATCAATCATTCCTCGGAAATACCGTCGAACTCATTGCAAAGGAGAAGGCAAGCATTGCGAGGAAGAACAAGCCTTTTGTCCTAGGCATTCAGAAATACGCTGCTGTCGGGAATGTTGTGCGGTCTGTCGTTGAACAGACCGGCGCTCACTTCATAGCAACTCACTCTGCGCAGCGACGAGCGTGGGACGATACCATAGATGGACCATTGCCGCCTGCATTCTCGCTGGATGCAGAATCATTCAGGCCTCCGCCTGCTCAACCTATTATATTCGCTAGTTCGGCTTTCCCGAGCAGCTTATCCGCACTTCTATATTTGAATGGAAGCCATCAAGTGGAGAACTTGAGTCTCGTATTGACTGTCATATCCACACTCATGACGCATCCATCGTGTACATCGAGGATGCCAAGCGGTTTTAGCGAACGCGTTTTGGAAAACATAAAGACAGGCATTAGAAAAGCAACTTGGCGAGGTCGCCTGTCATTCCATCGTCTCACGGTTTCCTCATCTAATCCCCGCGCGATCACTGTCCTTGTCGATGGCGCACACAATCGTGCGTCATCAGAGACCCTCGCTTCGTATGTCTCCAACCTCGTTACGATGTTGGACGGAAATCCAAAAGTGCGGATATTACGATTAACTTATATCCTCGGCCTATCCCATTCTCCCCCTAAAACGCCGAAGGATACCCTATTTCCGCTCTTCGCCTCTCAAAGTAGTAAACGACTTTCGATACAAACGAAAGTTGCCGCAGTACGATTCACCTCGCCGGAAGGCATGCCTTGGGTGAAATCTGTGCCGCCGTCTGAGATCGCCGCTACTGTGTGTGAGTCTGTATCAGGTGTAGGGTTGTGGGTTGCGTCCGACGAAGGCGAAATTCAGGGGCAACTTGAGAGTGCATTTGAATGGGCGACCACGGAGGGGACGGAAGGAGAAGATGGAGTACAAGAGCTAATGATTGTTGCGGGGAGTCTATACCTCGTGGCGGATTTCTATCGTCTTCTTGCGAGGCAAGAGGCGAACCCCAGTTGACAAGGGGGAACTGGTCGGACCGAAGTCGGTACAGCTGTTTTGAATATCGTTGTTTTTCTGGCCCAATGATTGGAGGTGTGCTCAAAAAGTTTGTCACAATTGGGGTTGTGGCACCACGTGGAGTCTTTTGTTGTGGGGGACGGGTGAAGCTTTGAAGGATTTGATGATTGCCAGTGGCGTGTATAACAAGCCTCAAACAGCCTAGCAGTACTCGTCTGTATGGAATGTGCAACCCATGTGCATGCTTGCGTATCTGATGATCGATCAGCGCTCATTCTGAGGCTCCTTCTAATTTTTGAGCTATAGCAAGACAGATTACGGCTGCCTACTTATATCCTCTTCTACATCGTGGAACTGTTCGCAAGTACGATGCTACTAGGAAGGTGAAATGGTTCTCTTCTGTGACATTATCAATGTTGTGATTGGCCATTCAGATCATCCACTGACAGCTGTCAATAAAAATGGTACACTAGTAGCGGCCACTGATCCAAGTATCTTCGAGGTCCGAAGCACGAGTCCGAAAAACGGGGGGCTCCGCCACCTGTCAAGTGCACTTATCGACGAATACCGACATGTTCGTGGGTGCTAGGTCGAAGTCTCCACTCCCTTGGAGGTGATGGAAGTGATGATCATTTCTGGTGGGTGAAACGGTGAATGCTGCTAATTTATTGGTAAACGGTTTGGGTGGCACACAATGATTCCATTGATGCGACATAGCGGCTCTGCAGTACACGTTGCGCGAATCCATCAAGATATGGTGGGATTGAATTGATATCCTGCCGCCACTGCCACTAAATATACGCAATGTGCGTAAAGACACAGGATCTAGCTCTGGCTAGAGCCCAGTCTTCGACTTACATCAAAAACAGGGGCTCATCTTCGTGAAGCGTCAATTCACAGACTACACGTTTCTGAGGGTCCATACCTCTGCAACCATTCAGTCGCAATAATACAGCTCTTTCCGATAGGTGCCGCTGGTAGAATGAGAACCTGTAAAGTGACATCGTGAATGCTTTTGTCGGAAGCTATGTAATTGTGTCGCCTTGTCAACCCATCATGATAAGCCGCAATACATATACGTGCCCCATTGGCAAGTCACCTAAAAACATTGAGCTATTTCCTTGCGAACTATTGTGATTATAAGCGGTAGAGTACGAGCCCGCGTTCGACCATGCAGATCAATGTCGCTGTCGGTGGAAGTTCTTGATCAAGATGAAATGTTGACCAACTTCATGATGCAACTCTGTGATACGTCAGCTAGTATTAGTCCCACGACACTTAAGTTGTGGTTACCAGTTGAGCTGATCAGCACGCGTTGTCTTTCTTCCCCTCATCTCTTGTCTCTCCTCCCTGTTTTATTTTTTCAGAGCTCGCGCGCTGCCAGCTCAGCCAGTCTCCATCAAGAGAGGCGTCCACTCGCTTTTTCGTATTTATTTTTCTAGCCAGCCGCTTCACATCGCGTATTTGAATCCAGTAATCACCGAATGTCCAGTATAGAGCCATCCAGAAGACCCCCTCTTGCCGGTAAACCGCCATTTGCAACAGACGATCCAGACGAACTTTTCGACCAACCACCGCCTTCTAAACGCCGTGTTCGTAAACCAGCTGATCCTAATCCCAACGACCGCACTTCTGCCTATAACATGTATGTTCACACGCTTTGTTTTTTCAACTTGAGAAGAGCAGGCGGATAAACTGACTGGGCACTCTGCAGGTACGATCAATATCTTGACCATGAAGATACCTCCAATCGTCAGTCTGGTTTTGGTGCAGTTGGCCTTGGTTTCTTGAATGGGGACTTGAGTGACGACGAGGACGAGGATGTCCCTATGCATAAGCCTCCTATGGCAACCGAGTCTAAGCACGATGTTACTATGAATGCGTCTCCGATACCCCTCGCTGCTCCTCGTCCTGGTTATCCAACACCCATCTCAGCACTCAATGTACCGTCTCCCGCTGCAACACCCGAAATGAGACAGATTGTCCAACCCCCTCCTGTGCACCAGCCTCCACAACCTATGCCAAATGCACTGAAAGTCAACCGGCCCCCAGCTGACATAAATACTCATCAACTACGTATGCCTGTCCCAATTTATGAGACTCCTTCCCCTCGCCCATCAGTCCCAAGCACTCCGCATCCTCTCCAGCCTCCAATGACCCCAATCACTCCTGTCTTTGCTCGTCCCGCCAAGTCACCCGCCCCAAGAGATATACAGTACACAGGCGACGCAATCATTCGTGGAGGCTCGGAGGACAACTTGGTGCCGAGACGTGGCCAGAATCGAGAAGACTTCTGGAGGAGGTTCAGCATGGTTGCGAAGGACGAGAAGAAGACGAGCTCTTGGCTGATAAAGACACAGAATGGGTCTTCAAAATTGTCACGCTGGGTTTGGTTCATTGGGATGGTGCTTTTAGTCGTATGCGCCTTCTTTATCTCTCCTCCCTCCCAACTCATCTATTATTGCAGCTCATTGCTGCTGGTATCGGAATTGGCTGGTACATCTCTCATAAGTCATCATCGAATACGACCCCAAAGGCGATCGGTGGTAGCGCCAACGAAACCATGAACCCCACCAGCACTCATGCATCGGTGGCGGTTTCTTCATCGTTGCACGTTTCGCCTACAAACACAGTTGCACGCCGTAACGAAGCCGAACCCACACCTGTTATTCGCAAGGTAGTCGGGGAATTCTTGGATGAGATTGGCCAAGCTCCAGCGGCAAAACTAAACATGCCTGCGGGACGGAGCTGGAAACATCGTCGCCACGTCGAGATCCAGCTCTAAGCCGCGCCTCTCGCACTCCATCACATTTCAGGAATTCTCTTCCATGATTTAGGCTTCACGTTTAGATCTTCATCTAGGTGGTCTCTACTTCTGGTTACTTACAAGCCTCAACCCATGCTCCATTGTGGGGGTATGCATCCATAAGGATGAACCCCTGTCCGTTCGTTTAATCAATTTCATCACGGTACCAGCGTGATGGATCTGTACTTATCAGGAATCGCAGCTCGGGTTCTATCGCATTTTTTGGGAAAATAAATAAATTCAAATATACATTCTTCACGTTCGTCCAACGACCTTTTTTTTTTCTTTCACTGGAGACAATCTGTTCACCTTTCATAACCTTCGATACCAGATAGATACATTGGCACACGACGATTGCTTGAGCACGGGAATCGAGGCAGCCACCAACTTGTATCATTCAGCGCTCAGCAAGTACTGATTGCTTGGGACTTTTGGAAATTTATTTATTTATTATACCAAGTGGTTATATGCGTGTAGTCTGATGCCCAGCACGACATTATTAATAGGGTACCCGTCCAATTGGACTCAGTATGCAGGATCTAAAGAGTATGCATCAAAAATAATCAATTGTGTAAGTAGCTTCCTTGTCACTGAAGGTGCTGAGAAATCCTTCAACCACGCATTCTCTTGGCTGGTCGCTCTTTCTCCTTTGACTTGGGCGCGGGCTGTGGGACCTTCACGTCCTCGAGGATGTCCACCTCCGCATCTGAATCGTTATCAGCTTGCCCAAGCTCTTCGCTCTCCCGTTTGCGTTTCGCGTCCTCTTCCTTCACCGCCCTCGAAACCTTCCACTCTTTGGAAAGGATTTGGATCCGTGCAATAAGATTTTTCCGGTAGTGCTGTACCTCACCCTCATTCCAGTCGATTTTACGCTGTTCTGCAGGATATATTTTCTTGCTCTTCAGACCAGAACCGGTGTCAGTCAGGTATTCAAAAAGTAAGAACCAGGCAAGCTACGCACTTGGTGGATGAGATCAAAGTAGTGAACAGGATTGTTAAGGAAGGTTTTGGCAAAATGTAGCAGGTAGACGCCGCAGTCGGCAAAGTTGGGTTGTGATGGGACCTGTAGTGGAGCGTTGGAAAGCTCTTTTTTGCAAAACAAGACTCCACACACCTGTGCAAACTTGACCTCAGCCAGTCTCACCTCGTCACGTTGTCGCTTGTCTTTCGCTTCAGCCTTCAGCCAATACCGCAATACCTTCTGTACTTGAGGATGCCGTGAACCTAGGGAATCTAGCGTGAAGATCCAAGTCCTGCAACGTATTATAAGCCGATCACTCAAATGCAGGCGCGTAGATTTACCTAAGAGGATCACTGGAAATCTGAGTGGCCAAACTGGGTTGGATGTCCAACATAGCATCTACTTCCCTTTCGTGCCTCTCGTCCTCATTGCGTTCGTCCTCCTCTTCGGAGTCAGGCACAATGGCTGGCTCGACAGCCTTCTGCTTTCCCTTGCTCTTGGCAGAGGTTCCATAAAAGTGAGCCGTAGGGATACCAGTCATACGAGACGGAGGTTTCGATGACCGAGCGCTGGGAGGCTCAGAGACATGTGTTGAAGTTGATGTATTGGAAGATGGAAGATTATCCTTCGGCTCGATCCCCTCTGGGAGTGTATCGATGTCGATAACAGTAACATCCACATCCATCGGTTCCGGACGGGGAGAAGACGTCGGTAACAACAAGTCTACATGTGCTTCGACGGACATCGATCTCCCTGAGGCCTTGCCTACAGAGGTAGATCTGCCTCGTATAGGTACAGACTTAGGTGATGAAGCCCTGAGTTGTTTCGGAGGGTGTTGGTTGGATATTGAACATGACTGTGTGAATTCCACAGGTGAGATGACATCCATGTCTTCATCTTGCGTAATACTTGGCGTGGACGCACAAGTAGCGTGCAGTGAGGCCGCTTCAGCATCTGGTTCTGATCGTGCTTCTAATGCTGGTAGGTCGTGGGGTGGTGCAGCCTCCGGCTCAGTCGCAGGAATTACGTCTGGTTCAGCAGCAGTCTTTCGCCGTAGTTTTCCTCGTTGAGAAAGAGAAGGTTCTTTCTGAGGGAGAGGTGGGAGAAGAGTGTGCTCGGGTTCATAGATGATGGCGAGGTACCAGTGAAGACTTGGAACGGAGTCAGTAAGAGTCAACCTCGTTAAGGACATACTCACTTCTCGTTGATCGGGACAATTATGTATTTCTTCGAGAATATATCAACCCTAGACGTCCATTTCTTCACGCTTTGGTATCCTTCGTCCAAGCTTCAGGCAAGATATATAATTTCAAAATTTGTAAAATGAAACCGAGAAGACTTGCCTTTTCTTGTTGTTGAGCTTCTTATAGAAGAACGAACTGAAGACGTGAATTTGTTCCGCAAGATCCGGGTTTTGCTCCTTAAGATCAGCGAGCCAAAGCCTACATAATGTCAGCATCACGCTCAATAAATGGCAGGTAACCGTACTTCAAGCCAAACTCTATCAATGTATCATTGAGGAACTCGTGCGGTCTGAGTCTATTCAAATCGCTGCCCATGATATTCAATGCGCCAGGGCCAGATGGGGGATATACGAGAATTCTAGTAAAACAAGTAAGAAATGAAACGAGATGTTAATGATCAAAGAGTCGCACAGTTCTTCAGGATCTGCTATGGGAGGAGACTCTGACTGAATTTCGGGTGCTGCAGCAGCAGAACGCCGTGATGAACGGCGCAGCGATGTACCGGCCTCAGCGTTTGCTGATTTACTGTGAAGGTTGTAGGTCATCAACCAAATTCTATGCAGTCATGGAGTAACCTACGTATCAGGTGCCAAGCACGATCCAGAATTGACTGTGGCGCTAAGTACATCTGGCGCAGGAGATGCATTCTTGACGGAAGGAGCCATCGACACGTGGCGAGAATTAGACGAACGATGACTTTGCTGTTGAAACATCTCTGCAAACTGCTGAACTTCTTCCCAGAGTGTGCGCGCGCCCGTTGGTCTGCCGTCAATCAGGCAAGTTCTCTTTAGGCGGTCAATGGCTTCGTACCTCACAGTATTGTGTGTAGATGCCGCATCAGCCAGGCGAAAGCGTAGGTTCTGATATATCGTTTGCGTCCATCCTTTGTCTTCGGCCGTACTAAACAAGAACGTCAGGTTCCCGCGTCCACGATTCAGTCCTGGGCACAGCGGCTCAGTGCATGGCACACCAATCAGAATGGCATACGTACCGGGTTCAAACTCATTTATTAATTTTCCGTTATCACAGATCTTGCAGTCTTTCCCCGTCAGTAGCTGTATGACCACATCGTCTTTCAAGGATTTCTTATCGTCAGTTGTGACCTAATCTATATTAGTACAAGTGCCACATAATTTATGTTGGGGACGTACTGTTACGTTTTCAAACCCATTAGTTTGTTGGAACTGGAAAAATTGAGACTGTCCAGGTACAGCCACAGTGAGACGTCTGCTCTTCGGGTCATACTCAAAGACAGGGGGCTCGGAACCATCCTCTGCACTAAATATTTTCAAACCGATTGCCCATGCTCGCAAAGGGAGTTTCAGGGGAGGGTCCTTAGTGCGAGGAAGTTCCTTGGATGTGAATTGCGTGGACGATGTCGTAATATGATCAAACTGCGATTGAGACGTTGAGGCAGACTGATTGAAGGCGTGAGTCATTACAAAAGAAAAATGCATTGATGTTGAACCTTGGTTGATTTCCTGGGTTTCATTTTCTTCACAACTCCGCCGCCGAGTGCATCCTGTTTCCGTAAATCAAGGAATGGAAGGTGAGGCTCGAACACCTTTCGAGTGTCGCGGACAATATTTTGCCTTATGGGCGTACGGATTGCAGCTCTCTGTGATTGAGGTTTCGGAGGGAGCGAAGGCCGGTTGTTGCCTCCCTTTGACGAAAAGTCTTGAACATCATCTGCAGCTCGCTGCGATTGAGGTTTCGGGGGCAGCGAAGGCCGGTTGTTGCCTGCCTCTGACGAAAAGTCTTGAATATCATCAACTTCATCAGACACAACCACAGTGCAAGACTGTGTGGTCGGAGAGGAATCCTTTCCTTTGCCCTTCCTGGAGTCAGCATATTGTGCGTCACCTGGAAAGGTCTGGAAAGGATGAAGATTCATAGGGTCCGGTGAAGACGACGAAGGATGAGAACGAGGTACAAGCATCCCAAGATCCTCTCCGTCTGAAATAATTACCTCGGCCTCTTGACCAATGGGATGCTTGTGGTGTCCAGGTGTACTTTTCATTCCATGAGGTCTGTCAATGATTTGTACCTCGGGATCTGGTTGCCCTGTATATCTTGCAGAAGCACGGGTGTTGTTTGTGGAACTCGAGTTATTGATCCGTATAGCAAGGTTAGTGGAGAATGTGTGATCACGTTTGGGACGCTTGTATTCTTGTGATCGTGCAGGGGTACCGAGAACCGTCCGTTGCGCATTCGGATTTGTTCGGAGATTGTTGCCGTTGGCGATTTGGTCGTAGGGACTTGCTGCTGGCTTGGGACGTGTGTTACGCTACATAACAGTGAGAGCATTACCACTAAAGTTGGATCTGACGGGTGTCAGTTAACTCACTGTGTTCGATGGGGCAGCTATTAGAGTGGGAGAGTTTTTCCATGTTCCTCTTCTGCAAAGCTTCATTCAGAATGATCTAGCGAAGTTAAGAATCAGACGTACGAATTACTAGATGCATCTCGGTAGTTGGACGGCCCTGCAGTGCCATGCAAACTATTGACCTTTTGTCTTTGAGAGGCTGGAAACTCCATTTGCGCCCCTTGCAGCCCAGCGAATAGCACTTCGTCGCGCGCCAGGGAGAGCAAGAAGACGACCAGCTCGCAGGTGGCCAGCGCAAGACCTTCGCTTACCCAGATTGAGCCCAATGCTCAGTTGTTCACTTGCTCATATTGCCTTAGTTAGGCAATTTACTCAAACAAAGCAAACACACGGAGGAACCTGGAGGGAATCCGTTGTTATTTTCGCTCATCGCGAGCGCACACTAAGATTCCTTTGATTTTCTACTTGAACAATAGCAAAGCAACACACATCTGCGCATCGTTACTTGGAAATAGACGACCACCCGGACTTAAGTGCACTTAAGTCATGCTTTCATAGCTAACGTAAATAAACTCCTCTCCGAGTCAGGCTGGATCCCATAGTAATTTTGACATGTGTTTCATAGCTGAGCTTGATAACCAAGTCCAGTGGGCGCCCGACAATACATTGTAAACGAGTTGCGGATCTCTCTTCTGCTACCCTCTCGTAGGCAGACCAACAGAAGGAAGACAGTTGCGATTGGTTCCTTCTCCGAAAATCCAGTGGTGACCTTGCAACGGCCACCAGCCCAATAATATCGTACGCACAGGTCCAGGCGTCCAAGTCAAGGTCTTGCGGCGGTGTCTCGTCATTTCCGATATCTGGTGGTACAGATTAGAACTCGGGCCCCGAGTACAAGCCTGGGACTGTGGAAAGCGGCGTGTGGCTGGAACCAGTACGCGCCACGAGGCTACGGTTTCCGGAGAACACCCATGGGATCACTTGGAACTTCTCATATGAATGAAAGTCTGCAATCTCAAAATCAGAAAGATCTAGTCGAGTGATCATACGGGTAACTGAGATCCTCCCCCCAGTCATAGGGGTCTCTCTTGAACCGGGAACCAACGACGTTCATGGTTGCAAGAGAGATGAAAGAATCACCGAGCTAAGTCTGTAAGGTGTGAAAACATTGAATCGTAATCAAGAATGAACGAAGTCGAGGTACTTATGAATTAGGTTTCTACAGCGGAATAACTCGAACAACTTCCGGATATTAATAGACCATATTGTGTTCCATGAAGTGGTCATCATCGACGAGCTCCGGGTACATAATCATTGATTGGACTGGGCTTGTGACCATTCTCCAAGAGCCTAGTAAGCCCGTGAGAGGATGTATCTGACGTTCAGTCTCGGAATGGCACGTAGAATGTTGCAAGGAGACTCTGTCTCGTTGATCAAGGAAGCGCAACCTGACTCTCTTAGGCCCACAGCTGTGATCGGGTGAGAGAGTAGGGATACAGCAGGCATAATTGAGGTTATAGAACGGAGTGTGCGAGCCAGATGTAGAATGGTACAGTGGACAAATATGAAGGTCGATGAATCCAGGACCTTCCCTTCAAGACGCTGAGTCGACTTGAACTTGCTACATTAAAGTGTGATTTGTACTTTTCACATCTTGTCAATGTACTCTCCTGCTCCAGAGATGCGGGATTTTACAACACGCGACATAGATACTAAGATAGTGAGGACTTGGAAAGAGCAAGCCAAGATCAGCGGTGATCAACTTAAAGGTTTTGAGACCTTCAAGTTCGTCTGTACTGTGCTCTCTTGGGAATGATCAGCTACAAGTCATTTAAACCTCGATGCATTTGAATCGCGTAACTCACCGTTGAATCCAACCAGATGCAGTTGGTATTGAGTGGACGAACAAAAAAAAAGATTGTACCTTCGCATCATCTTCCAGCCAGAATATATGAGGCAACGGGTCTCATTAATCTTACTTCTCCCAATAGGGTTGAGGTCCTTCATGAGATTTTTGGCAAAGTAGTCTGCATCGTAGTGGTTGGTAAGGAGGCATCGATGACAGTCCAGAATGAGGGTTTGATTGAAATAAGATTCAGAACATTCGACAGATGGTGTCCCTACATTAGCTTGTGTTGTGTGTTGGTCATTTGGACTGTCGAAAATGGAGTCTATTGAGTCTATCAACGCCTCAACAAATAACGGCCTGAAAGGGTAGACCAAAGGTGAAGGGGTTCGACCCTTCTGCGACCTGATTGCAATTTTGAGATATCAGGTCACGCACGGTACGCCTCCTATTGGCTGTAACAGTGCACTCACAAAAGATCGAGATGCTCCAAGTAGAACCTAGCGAGATCGAGGAGCCCAGTCACTGTAAGAGCCACTGATATTATCCGCGATGCTTAGATGACCAATGGCGCTGGGTGCATGGATAATCATGTGCCCCAAAAATCTAGCGAACATGAGCAGTGGCAGCATGGACTCAAGCAAGTGAGCCCGAGAATGCAAGTCAAGACATCGGCAGTACAGTAAACTCGAACGAAGTCACTACCAGGATAAGTAACTCCATGCTCAGCTTATTATTAATTGTACATACCTATCAAGCAAATTGTACAGGATTGTATGCTCAAGTGGGAGGGTGTGTATGAGAAGACCGAGAGTGACGAGACACTTGCTCGAGTTCACCAAAATATAAGAAAAGGAGGTAATTAGGTTGGTTTTATTGAATTGTTTGTTCTTATTGTCGTCGATAGTGTGGCAACCTTTCAATTGCAACGCGTCGCCGTCGCGTTCTTTCCCCTTCACGTACACTGTCTGCAGCAGTAATGGCAAAACGCAAAGTCATTGTTGACGACGACGACGACGACGAGGCTCTGGATGCTCTATCTCAACACTCTAAGCGTGCCAGGACTATTGATAGCGATGATGAGGTCGTTGTTGACCGCTCGCGACACCGCAATAGGAAGTCTGGTAATGGCAACGGCAAGGCACGTCAGGAGGATAGCGACGAAGACGAAGAAGATTTAACCCAGGAGGAGCATGACGAGGAAGAGGAGCAACGCTTCGAAGAACTCAATGGCGAGGCGATTCGCCAGCGCCTCGAGCAGAAGCGTAATACCTTCGGTGTTAGTGGGATGTCAGCTACCTCTAGCGATGGCCCAAACTGATCCATGTGCTGTAGGGTATTGCAGAGCACGGAATCATCGAGTCTATTGAGATGCACCAGTTCATGTGCCATAAACGACTTACTTTCACGTTTGGACCTCAGATTAATTTCATTATCGGTGAGCGTCACTTCTTCAAGTACGTTAAACAGATACTGAAATAGCTCTATAGGTCACAATGGAAGTGGGTGTCGTATCTCCAGTGGCTGATAACTCTTGTGTTTCGTTTCACTGACTTACCCCTGTCAGGCGGAAAGAGTGCCGTCCTGTCCGCGATCACAATCGCACTTGGAGGAAAAGCAAACTCGACAGGACGCGGTAGCGGCCTGAAATCTTTCATTCGTGAAGGCCAACAGTGAGATTAAGTCACTCAGGTTTATGTTACTGATCTTGAGACGTTACATAAGGATATCAGAAATCACCATTTCGCTCAAGAACCAGGGCGAGGAAGCATATAAACCCAAAGAATACGGAAAGAGTATTGTCGTTACGCGTAAATTTACCAAGGACGGATCTTCTTCGTGGAAAATCAAGAGCAAGGACGGCAAGGTCGTGTCCACAAAGAGAGACGAGCTTTCAGCCATCTGTGATCACATGAACATACAGGTCGATAACCCCATGAATGTCCTTAGTCAAGGCGAGTACTTTATGCATATATGCGTCTTGAATTCCATGTTAAAGTTTTACGTAGATGCTGCTAGGCAATTTTTAAGTGCTTCCCATCCCTCCGACAAATACAAGGCGGGTTTACTTTCACATTCTAGTGTTCTTAGTTCACGTGCATGCATTGCAGTTCTTCCTACGAGGTACCCAGCTATCGCAGCTTTCCGAGGAATACGACGCTTGCCTTGATAATATTAACCAGACCAAGAAGGTGCTACACCAGAAAAAGCAAGTTCTTCCTGACCTACGTGCCACATTCAAGGAGGCGAGCGTGCGCTTTGAAGAAGCAAGCAAGGCACGCGAGCAGCGCTGCAAGGTTGATGAGCTCAAGAAAGAGCTTGCCTGGGCTCATGTCGCAGCGAAGCAAGCGGTAAGAACAGATCTCCTTAATATTTCCCTTGATCCGTGTGGCATGGTTGATTGTGTGTGTTGTGAACAATGAGCTGATGCAGCTATAATTTCTAGGAGATGGAAGCGAAGCTTGGGGAAGTTGCGAAGCAGGAACGCCGCTTGCCCAAGATCGAGACTGAGATGAAAGCAGCTGAGGTGCGCCACCAGAAATTCATGGGTACCGATATTCATATACTCACATTCTCGTCAGTCCCAATTCCAACTTGCCTCTGATGCTGTAGAACAATTCGATAAGGAGCATTCCGCACTTGGCGACATTGATCACCTCACCAAGCAGCGCGACGATCTGCAAGAGAAAATGCGCAGCAATAGGGTAAAGATAGGAAACTTCAAGGTCTATCCACCTTATCTTCTGCTTTACTTCTTGTCTAACATAATTGTCTTTTCATTCAGAATGACGAGAAACAAATGAACACTTCTCTTAATTCTCTCAATGATGCCATTGAGACGTACACGAGAAATATTGCTGAAGAAGAGCAGTCGTCTCGCTGCAGACACACAAGTAAAACGAGACGAGCTTAACCGAAGGCTGGAGTTTGCCAGAACAGATGTCACGAACGCCGATCGGGCGCACAAGGACTTCCTTGAAGCTAAGCGTCAAAAATTGGCTGAGCAGGATGGCATTAAGCACAGGGGGCTCGCCGCCGAAGCCAAGAAGAATAGCGCACAGGAGCGTGTTGTTGCGGCCCAGAGTATGATTTCTCAGTGTAAAGAGAAAGGCCAGAACGCTCTTGCTCCGTACGGTCGAGATATCAAGGGTGTCCTCGACCAGATTGCGAAAATGAGGTGGCATGGGGACGTGCCTGTCGGTCCGCTTGGGATGCACGTCAAGCTGAAGGACATGGCGTGGGCAGATTTGATGAGAATTCAGCTGGGAGGCCTGATGAGTGCGTTTGCGGTCACCGATGCCAGGGACAGGCCACAACTCAAGAGGTTACTTGATCAAACGAAGAAGTGTGTTAGCCAACCCTTCA